TCCTTCCTTCCTTCTTTCCTTTCTTTCTTTCTTTCTTTCTTTCTTTCTTTCTTTCTTTCTTTCTTTTTTTTTTTGTACTGGGGATCAAACTCAGGACCATATGCTTGTAAGGCAGGAATGGTGCCACTGAGCTGAATCCCTGGCCAACTTGTTACTTAATTAGATTGTGTCTGCAAGGTTTCTTCTTTGTAAATTTGCTCTCTTCCCCCATGTAATTGATGGCTATTTTGTTAAGAGAGACCATACACTAGACCATCTCCATCACATTTCAACCAATAATTTCAGTATATATTTATGTTTCTTAACTAAATCATTAGGACTTGTTAAATAATGATTTTCTAATTTTGTTTTCTTAATTTTTATTTGCCACTTTGCTGGAAGGAATAGCTATCTTCTCTTCTCACTTATTTATCCATTTAATTATGCCATTAGGGATTTATGAATTTATATTTTATTTCACGGATATCATTCTTTTTATCATTATTTACTTTGATGTTGACATTGCTACAGGTTTGGGCAGCAAGGGCCCTTTAAATTGTCTTTGGCCTCCTTTTGATACATCACCCTTGTTCTTTGAAAATTTCCTGACCTACAAGATTTTCTAGCTTATATTATATATTCTTCATGGCCCAGCCTCATAGCCAGTCCCTTCCCCAAGGAAACTTCATTCTTTAGGGTTCGGGGGATGGCATTTAGAAACCAAAATGTGGCCACCGGAGTGCTCATCATCCTTGGTGTTTCACTGCTTTTCTGCCCTCTCTGAAAGAAGAATTGGAGAATATTCATATAAACAGACCAGCAAACATTTATATGTTTATGATGTCTGTATATATTCTTACTACATACATTCTCACTACATACTGACGTCTATATTACTTCTTTTAGTACACTAGTATTTCCAATTCGAAGCTGTAATTCTAGCTTAGTCTGTTTTCTGCGTTTGTAACTTCCTTGCTTCAGTGAGAAACCTGGTTCTCGTTAACCTCAATAGATCTCCTTACTGCCCCAGTCCTGCTCAGAAGCGACCAGTCTTCCATTGTAGTTGATGCTCGTGCTGTTCCCTACCTTACACCCATGTAGACTCGTTTTTCACAGTGCCAAGAGCCGACATCTCACAGCAGGCCTTGGCCACCATGAGGGCCTTCTCCCGCTGCCCAGCTCTGCTCTGTCAAAGCCAAGGCCTCGTGAACGCCTCCTCTTCTCCTCAGACTTGTGTGCCCTTGCCCCACGCTGCCCTCTGTGTGGATGCTTTTCCCGCTCAGCCCCCTAGTGGCTTTGGGACTGAGCAAGGTAGGAAAAATGTAATGGTAACCAGGCAGAAATCAAGAAGGAAATAAAGAAGGAAGGATGGAAGAAATGTCCTTTCTCTCATTATGGGTAAAAACGAGCAGCTTTTCAGACATTTACAGACTGCTCACGTCTGTGTCTATGTGTGTGAATGCTAATATCTAGCAATTTGTTATTAGGTAATTGCTACTCGGCTCTTTGTTAAGGCGCTCTTTCTATGTTTAGGAATATGACTCTTTTGTCTGTAAGTTTTCTGCATTCATCAGCTTTTTCTTAGCTTTATTTTTGCCTCACCCAAATTTTTAATTTGTGTCGTTTCTCACTTTTTTCTTCTAGCCTTCAGATTTTGAGTCAGTGTTGAGGGTTAGCTTCCTTTTTTAGATGCCTCGGTTGCTTTCCATTGATCCCCAACTTAGATGTTGGACTGTGCTTTGGGGGGGACAATCACCTGACTCAACTCTGTACCCTCACATTTTCAGCTGGAGTCCGACAGCTGGAGTCGCGCTTCTTGGTACCCGGAGATTTGTTAATTTTGACAGGGAACAAAGTGCAAATGCCGTGCGATGCCATCCTGATCGATGGCAACTGTGTGGTAGATGAAGGCATGCTGACAGGTACGGGTCCCTCCCCACAGCTTGCATCCTTGCTGGGCTGTCCCAGGCTCGGTGCTACCATGGTTCCTGCTCTTCCTCTACCTCAAGGATGGTGGCTCGCTGCAAAGTGTGGGGCTACTTTGTAACGCTTCCTAATACCTTACATCTCATTCCATCCTGCTGGGGATGAATCTGAGAGATCAAATTAAAGCTGCTTTCTCTGTGCTAAGTTCGCTATAATAATAACTTTTGTGAACAAATGATCGATAGACTCTTTACACCTTACCTTTAATTGCATGGCTCATTAGGTCTTTCAGAATTGTCCAGATGCTTCTATCTAGTATTTCAATGTATCTAATATTTCAGTGTACAATGTAACCTCAGATGAAGTTGGAAGATCTGGAAGCTTTCAACGACATCCTAAGACCCACAAGGCCAAGTCCAAGCTCATCCTGGTCTGGCTTAAAAGTGCCAAAAAGTTCATGATGGAGAACTTGGAAAAGTTTCTGCTTCTATCACCTGTTTAAATAGCATGCTGAGCTGGGAGGGACCGCGGGGCTCACCTAGCTCGCAGACACAGCCACTGAGGTCTAGGGGGAAGTGGCATGCTCCAGCCTCCACTGCTTTGATTTCTCACTCGTGTGGCATCATAAGACATTGTGCCAACCTTTCTGAAAAATAAACAAGAATCATAACTGTTTCAGCGAAGAAAAGGGAGGCAGTGAAAGCCTGTGATGTCTTGTGGCTCCTTCTTAAAGCCCGCATCTAATCCATTTCTCCCAGCTGGGCCGAAAAGGCGTGGAATGGAGGTGAGAACATGTATCTCCCTCCTGTGCAAACTTACAAGTGCATGGCAGATCATGGCAGGTTGGGTTCCTCTCCCTCAAGCAACCGTCCCTTAATTTTAGGACCTTTGCAGTGGCGAGTACTAATGCATATCAGAATGTAACTCAGACTTTACACTGCTCTCTCTGCAAAGGCCCAACAGACAGCTTGCAAACTTCTCCCTCAGAGCAGGTCAGAGTTACCTCCACACCTTCACCCCTTGTCCTGTATTAGCACTGCAAACCACTGAAGTATGGTCTTCTCACCCTCGTGGGAACAAGTCACTGAGATCCCAGTTGCCAAATGCAGTGGATTTTTAAAATTTCCCACCTTGTTGACTTCTCTGTTGTATTTGGTAATCTAGACCATCTTTCCTTCTGAAAGCTTTCTTTTCCGTATCTCTCTAAGACAATGCTCTCTCTCTACAGACTCTTCTACCATTGACCACACTGACTCACTTTCCTCTGCTATTACTCTTTCTCCATCTCCATGATTTTGGGGCTGCTCAGAGCTGTATTCTTGTCCTTTGTTCTTCCCACACTACGTTCACTTTCTGTGGCTTTTCTCATTTATAAGCTGATGAGCTGTGATTAAATATCTTTAGTCAAGACTTCTCATCTGAGCTCCAGACTCCCATAAATGTCTAACTGCACACAAGACATTTCAACAGGGTTATTCTAAAAAGCAACTCCACCTCACAGTGGCCAAATGTGGTTCTTCCTCTCCTCCCCGCCTCCTGTAATCCCTGCTTTGATGAATAATGTTGCTGTCAGCTCTACCTTCCAAGCCAGGAACCAGGAAGCTGTTTTCAATTCCTCTTTCCCTAGACCTGCCAACATAAAATTTCCCTCATGATTTGTAGCATCTTTCTTCCTTAATTTTTGAATTCAGTACTTCCTCTATTCTCATGTTCAAAACTCCTCCCCTTCCTCCTAGGCTCTTGTGGTCCTTTCCCAGGCTCCAACCTCATCGGAGTTCAATTTATTCCATGTACTACAGACAGAATAGTTTTTCTTTCACATAAGATGATGCTAATCTTCTGATCAAAGCAGTTAAATATCCCCTGCTCTCCTCCAGTCACCAGTGCCTCCAGAAAAATATTCAAACACTTAACTGAGCTGCACTTGGGGTTCTCCTTGTCTCCTCTCCTCCGTAGCCCATAAGGCACATTATTTTCCCCATGCCCCGTATTCTGTACCGCATACTTTGCTACTCCCTGAGGGTCATGTCCAACCTATTTTAACATCCATGCTTGATTCACAATACTCACAATATTATAACATGGAATTCTCCTTATTTGTTTATATGTCTAAGCCACATTCGTTTTGCAACCCTGATGCCTAGGGTTGTTTCTGCCATGTGAGTGTCTGTGGCATGACGAGTGGGCACAGTCCTGATTTGCAGGAGCCAACGCATCCCACCCCACAAAATGAGATGCTTGTTTTCTATAGGAGAAAGTATCCCAGTCACCAAAACTCCACTACCCAAGACGGATAGCCCTCTGCCCTGGAAAACGCAGAGCGAAGCAGATTACAAGCGGCACATCCTCTTCTGTGGGACAGAGGTGATCCAGACCAAGGCAGCTTGCTCCAGGATGGTGCGAGCAGTGGTGGTGCAGACAGGTTAGCCTCTCATCCTCTCTGTTATTTTTAATGAAATGGTTCTGCTCAGCTTGCCTAGTGCCTTGGATTTCTTAGGTAAGGATCAATCTTTGAAGAGCAAATGAAATGTATGTAAATCTAGGGTTTTAAATGCCAATTTTCCAGTTGAACTATGGCGTACGCATAATGATATGGATGACAATAGTCACTATTTATGTGTTTTGCAATTTATAAACTATTTCTGCACATCGAAGCAGCAGAGCAAAGATGATGAAAGTCTCCACTCTTTATGTGACTAGGGTGAGGCCATGCAATTCAAATGAATGTTTAAAAAATGACACAGCTAGTAACAGGCAGAGCTGGATCTGATGTTTGGATCTTATATTTTTTTCTAGGCAGAAATAGAAATTGAAAAATTAACTCCAGAAGATATTAGAAAATTTAGCTCATCAGTATTTTTTAGCACTTAGTTTTAATTCAAATGAAAGATATGTGTGTGTGTGTGTGTGTGTGTGTGTGTGTGTGCACGCGCTCATGAACCATTTCCTTAAGATAGGTCATATTTAGAAAAATTGTGCTCTACTCTCAGTATAGTGGTTTCCTGGGATGTATTGAAATTGGAAAAAGGGAGGGAGGGAGAGAGAGACAGAGGGGGTGGGTATATTTCCATTGTAGCAATTAAGTATTTGCCCATTTATTGCCTTTGGGTTTGAACCATGTTTATCTCTAGAGTAAAACAAAGGCAACATTGAGAAGGTCATATTTAGAAAAATTGTGCTCTACTCTCAGTATAGTGGTTTCCTGGGATGTATTGAAATTGGAAAAAGGGAGGGAGGGAGAGAGAGACAGAGGGGGTGGGTATATTTCCATTGTAGCAATTAAGTATTTGCCCATTTATTGCCTTTGGGTTTGAACCATGTTTATCTCTAGAGTAAAACAAAGGCAACATTGAGATTTCGAAGAATATTACCAATAGGAGTTATCATCCTGAAAATAATGGGGTTTTGTTTGCCATTTCAGGATTCAACACTGCAAAGGGGGACCTCGTGAGATCCATTCTTTACCCCAAGCCAATGAGTTTTAAGCTCTACAGGGATGCCATCAGGTTCCTCCTATGCCTCGTGGGGACAGCCACCATTGGCATGGTTTATACTCTGTGTGTCTATGTGCTCAGTGGGGTAAGCTGTCTTTGCTCTCTTGTCACATGAACATATTCACTCTTTGAGTGTTTTATGATCAACATGTTGACCCTATTCATGGACATGGTCTACAACTTAGAAAACAAAGCCACACAGAAACCTGCTTATAGGCTCATTATAAACAAATGATCATTAAGTTCTGTAATAATCAGATCTTGTGGGATACTGGGACAAGAAGATTTGATGACTGAATATCAGCAGGCTTCTACTCGAGCACTTCATATTATTTAAAATAATTTCAATCTGAAATATGTTTCAATAAGCAATGTTTCATTGCCATTCAAATGAAAAATTTTAAATAAAATCAGATGTTCAAAGTTGGTGCAGTCACAGCAAGCTGGTACATCCTGGTAGCAGTGTTGTTACAAACTTTTTTTATTACACTTTTCAAAAAGCTGTGTAGAGCCAGAAACCTGATCATGCCCTTGTACCCACTGATACCATGTCTCAGAATCCAACATAGAGAGGAAATGGAGAGAAAGAACACAATCACTCCCTCAAAACTGTTCATTGTTGACATCTCTGTGAGAGCTGGGGACCCCTGTCTTCCAGGAATCTCCGGAGGACGTCGTGAAGAAAGCTCTGGATGTGATCACTATTGCAGTTCCCCCCGCCCTACCTGCTGCCCTGACCACAGGCATCATCTATGCCCAGAGGAGGCTGAAGAAGAGGGGCATCTTCTGCATCAGTCCCCAGCGGATCAACGTGTGTGGACAGTTAAACCTTGTCTGCTTTGACAAGGTATGTGGGTTCCTTTGTTTATCGTCATCCCCATCAGGGGAAGGTGCTTTGGATCCTTTCAGGAGGCAGAAAACATAGATGTGGGCATCGGATTTCATCTTTTTCTTGGATGTTTGCATGATCTGAGTTCTTAGATTCTGGGCTTTTGAGAAGGGGGAATAAAAAGATACTGCATAGGTGCGTTGTGAAAGGTCCTACCAGCTTTGATAGCCTATGAAAATCAATGAATTCAAATAGCACCCTGTTCTTTGCAGCCAAAACCTTCATACAAAAAATAAAATTTAAGGCCTTGGATATGGTCACTCCTGGATTTCTAATGCTGAGAATATTGCCTGCATATAGTCAATGCTCAAAAAATATTTAATAAGTGAATGAAAAAGGAAGACTCTATGGAACTATCTTACTATGACATATGATTACAAGAAAGCCCCAGCTTGTCTACATGTTGTGATCTGTAATTTACTGCTTAAAATTCTTGTTGGTGACATACCGGTTCCCAAGCAGCCTCTTACACTACCTTCTCTCTTTTTAACATCTTTATTGAGTTTATTGGTACATTTTAGGTGTACAGTGCAGTTACATTCATCATTGGGCTCTTGTACCTTTACATGACATCTTAGTCCTTATTTTTCCCTATTCTTCAGCCTTCTTTCAGTCCCTCCATCCTTCCCTGTTTACAAAGACACTGTTTTCATGATTTCCCTTTTCACATATTGTTTCTTTTCCCTTTTTACCTTTCCCCTACCCCTCCCACTTCCTCTACTCTTTTAGACCTTTTCTTCCTATTACACAATATCAATTATACATATTGATCCTTATTTACACTTTTAGTTTTTCACACCAGAGAAATTATTCAGTATTTACACATGTGACTTATTAATTTCACTTAAGAGTATGGCCTCAATGTGCATCCACTTAGCTATAAATATCTCTAGTTTCTCAATTTTTATGGCCAAGTAATACTCCATTTTATTAAGAAGACACATCTTCTTTATCCAGTCTCCAGTTGATGGGCAATTGGGCTTTTTCCAAATTTTAGCTATTACAAACTGTGCCACTACAGACATGGGTGAGCATATATCGCTGTGGTATGATTCTTTTAATTCTTTTGGAAAGATACCCAGCAGAGGAATAGTTGGTCAATTGGGACTTCTTATCCTAGTTGTTTGAGGTATCTCCATATTGATTTCCACAGTGGTTGCACCAGTCTGCACTCCCACCAACAATAAAGAAGTGTTCCTATCTACCCGCATCCCCACCAACATTTGTTAACTGGTTGATTTCTTGTTAGCAGCCATTCTTCTTGGGGTGAGGTGGAATCTCAGTGTTGTTTTCATCTACATCTCCCACATGACCAGTGATGTTGAACATTTTTGATATGTTTATTTGCTGCTTTTACTTTGACTGAGAAATGTCCGTTCATTTCAGATGCCCATTTTTGAATTGCTTCTTTATGCTTTGTGGGGGGGTCTGATTTTTTTTCAGTTCTTTATATATTCTAGGTAGTAGACCTTTGCCTGAGGAACAACTGGTAAAATTTTTTTCCCACATTGTGGATTGTCTTTTAGCTCTGTTGGTGATTTCTCTGGCAGTGCAGAAGCTTTTTAAAAAGATGACATCCCAGTTATTGATTCTTTGTGCTAGTTCCCTTGCTACTGAGGATTTTTTCATAAAGTCTTTTCCTATGTCAGTATCTTCAAGAGTTCTACCTAACTTATCTTCCAGAAAGTCTAGTGTTTCTGTTTTAATATTTCAATCTTTAATCCACTTTGATTTTAATTTAGTGCATGGTGAAAGATAGGGATCTAGTTTTAATCTTTGGCAAGTTGAAAGCCAGTTTTTCCAGCACCTTTTATTAAAGAGGATATTTTTCTTCCAGTGAGGATGGTTGGCTCCTTTTCATAGATGAGGTAGGTGAGTATGTCAGGAGTTTTGTCTGCATCTTCTAATCTGTTCCACTGGTCCTCAGGTCTTTTTCTTTGCCAGTACCATGCTGATTTTATCACAGTGGCTTTGTAGTATAGTTTCAAGCTGGGGATAGTGATATCCTCTGCCATTTCTCTGTTGCCTAAATGGGTTTTGCTATTCTAGGTCTCTTCTGGTTCCAAATGAATTTTTGGATTTTTTTCTCTAGTTCTGTGGGATGTACTGTTGGGATTTCAATAGGGATTGTGTTGAATCTGTATAGCAGTTTTGGAAGTATTGCCATCTTCAGTATATTGATTATTCCTACCCAGGAACAAGAGGTATCTTTCCATTTTCTTATATCCTCTTCAGTCTCTCTTTTCAGAGTGTTGTAATTCTCATTGTAAAGGTCTTTTGCTTCCTTCATTAGATTGATTCCTAGATATTTCATTTTTTTGGATGCTATTGTGCAAGGGATTGTTTCCTAATTTCACTCTCAGTGAGTCTGATATTTGTGTACAAGAAAGCTATGGATTTTTGAGTGTTTACCTTGTATCTAGCTACTTTACTGAATCTGTCAATTAAGTCTAGAAGTCTTTTGGTGGAGTTTTTTTGGTCTTCGATGTAGAGTATTATATCGTCAGCAAATAGTGACAGTTTAACTTCTAGCTTTCCTATCTTTATTGCTTTAACTTCTTTCTCTTGTCTTATTGCTGTAGCTAGTATTTCCAAAACTATGCTGAACAGAAGTGGTGACAGTCTTGTTCCTGATTTAGCATGAAGGTTTTCAGTTTTTGACCATTTAGTATGATGTTGGCTGTTGTTTTTTTTATATGTAGCCTTTATGAAGTTAAGATGAAGATCATCTATTCCAATTTTCTGCAGGGTTTTTATTATGAATGAGTGTTGAATTTTGTTAAATGCTTTTTTCTGCATCGATTGAGATTATCATATGTTTTTTGTCCTTGACTTCATTTATAGTGTGTTACATTTATTGATTTATGTATGTTGAACCATTCTTGCATCCCTGGGATAAATCTGACTTGGTCAGAGATTATAATCTTCTTGATGACCCTCTATATTCTGTTTACCAGTATCTTATTGAGGATTTCTGCATCTATGTTCATTAGGGAGACTGGCCTGCAGTTCTCTTTTTTGATTGGGTCTTTTCCTTCCCAAAGTAATTCTTGTTTCCAGAAATGAATTTGGACGTATTCCTTTCCAACACACCACCTTCTCTTGAGTGTGTTTGTTTCATCTACACATCTGAGTTGGGATGAAGGTGGGCTGAAATAGGGTAAGATAGAGATGAAGGACACCACAGGCAGGTGGATACAGAGAGGCATGGCCACGGGTGAGCAAGGGACTGTGTGGCTTGAACAAAGGCAGTACAGTAACACTGGAAGAACGTGTCTGTGTCCCAGATGTCTATCTAAAACAAGTATATGTGTGCTTTAGGCAGCAGAGAACCATTGAAAGTCTTTGTTGCCTTCATTGACTTCTTTATTGTGGAAATATATATAAATATAATAAATTTCACCACTTTAATCATCTTATATTTATGACCCACTGGTATTCAGTACATGCTCACTGTTCTGCAGTCATGAGCATCAGCAGCCATCTTGAGAACTTGCTTCAGCCCCATGGCTAGAACTCTGAACCCATGAAACAATACACTGACAGTTTTGATGCCTGAGAACTAATGGGATCAGAACTTCATTTTATAATTAGTGGAGAATCTGGAAGACATACCAAGCACTGAAGGTATTATTAGTATTATTTTTTTAAATCACACTAGCATCATAAAGAAGGACATTCTATGCATATCAGATCACATCTGTGGACTTTGATAAAGGAATGAGTGGGAAAGGTAATCATGATATAAATTCAGATGAAAATGAGCTCTTACTGTACACCAGGTACTAACATAAGCACTTTGTATCATCTCATTTAATCTTCATGGCAACTCCATGTGATTATGACCAGGTTGCAACAAAGAGCTCTGATATTTAGAGGGACTAAGTAATGTTTTTCTTTTTCTTTTTTTTTTTTTTGCCATAAAGACAGTATTTGAACTTACCCTGAACTCAGCCATTAGAGTGCACCAAGGAAAATAGCAGCGCACAACTTCTTCCCACTTATCAAACAGCAAACCATTTCTTTACAGTCTTGTCACTAACAGTGCCCTGTAGGTAAAAATTCTACTGCAGTGCTTGTTTTGGATGACATGCTTTTAATGTCTACTGTAAAAACTGGACTCTCCCATTTTATAGTTCCAAAGGCTCACCAAGGACTTTTCCATCCACTCCTTGTACCATTACATCCTCAAAGCACTCCTATGAGTATGTGAGGGAGGTACCACGCTCTTCTTTTTATCTCTAAGGACACAAAAGTTCACAGTGATTAAGTGCTGGCTTGTCATCCAACTGCTTGGAGGTCATCGAAGCTTCAGTCCAGACTGTAGATGATCAGCTGATTGCAGCTGTCCTTCAAGTGCCCATTGTGATAATATGTTTGTGGCTTGAATTTCTCTATTAAAACATCTATTTTCCTTGGCTCCAGGGTCACTGGCTCCTCAGAGTAATTGTCTTTGCTTTTGTTTAGACAGGCACCCTAACTTGTGATGGCTTGGACCTCTGGGGCGTTGTGCCTTGTGACAGGAATGGGTGAGTGCCTACTGCTAAACAAATGTCATTTCTGTTTCCAGAGCTCCTCCTTTACTTTCAGAATTACTAATGGAAATATTTGGGCTTTGGACTTGGTAAGGAATGATTGTCAAAGTCTGTTCATTTAACTCCTGCTCTTGAATTCTTCTGGGTCTCCCCCAAACATGCACTCACAACCCCTGACCCTGACTCCATTCCCAGCCCCATGCCATCCGAAAACCCAGGAGGTGACGGGCAAGTTGTGATAACACATGCAAGTCTTTGCTGAAATGCCATTTGTTTTCAGCACATTGCTCAGAGGCCTGACACTGGGCCAGTGTAAGTAACCTGACAGTGCCAGGACGCTGTCTTTCAAGGTGGTGACACTCTTTGCACAAGCTGCAGCCTTTGGATGGGTGAGGAGGAAGGAGGAAGTGTGACTTTCAGCCCAACTTTCCAGGAGAGGACCGTGTATAGGGCTGCTGCTGGTGTTCTCACTTTCCTTGGTATTCTGGTTCTGGGAATTCTCCCTTCTGGCTGCCAGCAAATCCTCTTTGTAGTAATGAGGCTGCTTTTGGCAGTTTTCAACTTGGTGTGGCAAAGATGAACATGTCCTCCTCTTGCAGCCCTCTGGTGGCCACAGGTGAGTTCGTTTTTCCACATGCGGTTTCTCCCCACTGTGGCCCCAGTGTGCTCAGCAAGTGTGACGTATTTGGCACAGAGGTTTTGTTTGAGAATGAAAGCATTTTCTCTCTGACCCTTAGACCACAGATCAAAAAGAATTATCTATAGAGGGTGAATTGGACTTCTTTTCCATCAGACAGACAACGCACAATTTATGCACAAAATATTTTTAATTGCACACCGTGAATATCATCACATTAAATACCATTCATAAGTACATCTGTTTTATAGGTGAAAAAATAATCCTGGTGTTTCTAAGCATTTTATTTTACAGAAAGAAGTGCTTATTTTTTTCCCCCATTAAGTATGGGTACATTTTAAGCAAACAATACAGTTACAGTTATCATTGGGATCTTGTAACTTTGCATGACAGATCTTGGTTCTTGTTTTTTCCCCTTTCCCCTGCCCTCCCTTCACCCCCTTCATCCTTCCCTATTTACAAAGACTTTGTTTCTATTTTTTCTTTTTTCACATTTTTTTCTTTTCCCTTCTTTCCCTTAGAAAGAAGTGCTTATAAGCGTTAAACTTTCTACCATTCTTTGCATTTTTTCCCCCTGGAGGAGGAATTTGAATAAGTACCTGGTCTCCTTATTCTTTAGAGTTTTTCTGCTTCAGCTTTTACCGAAAGTGTTTGCATTTATGCAAAGATGTGAGCATCTTTAAAAATGGTCTGTTTCTTCCTCCTTTGTTTCCCTAGCATTATAGTGGTGTACGAGGCAGATGCAGAAGGTGCATAGTAAATGCTCACTAAAAGGCACTAAGTACACCTGTCTTTTGAATGTCCTGCCTATGGAATGGATAACATATTACTACATAATATGGTTTAGGTTACTAATTAATCAATTAGATCTGCCTCCCTTGCCCCCTCCCTCCCTTTTTCCTTCCTCCTCTCCTTCTTGTAGAAAGGTTAAATTTGGCTTCAAAAGATCAAAATAGCAATTTAAGAAAAAATTAATTGACAACTCTACTTGATAAAATGAGAGAAAATATTTGATGCTAGGTAAACAGTCTGCGCCTGACTTCTGGGTTATTAAGTCTCTTCTTGTCAGAGGCTGGTCACTCATCTCTGATAATTCTTATCTCTTCTGCAAAGGGTCTGACTAGTGCTTCAGTTGTTTCAAAGCACCTGAGCTTGATACTGAAAGCTACCTGGCCTCGGTACCTCACAAATAATCAAATTAAAATGTAAGAACAGGAATGCCAGAGCTCTCTGCGTTTGTTGTGATAACCAGAGTCTGGCTCAATCTGCTGGAATTCCCTGTTATAGCTTCAGAATTACAAACTGATGTCAAGAACATTTGCCATCATAAAAATAAGTTTTTTTTTCTTTTTCTGTTGTATACTTGGCTTTTTATTTTTAATTCTATTTTTTCTCTTGCATTGTCTCTAGTGCCCTTTTCTCTTTTTAATTTTAATTATTAGTAAATGTTGGCAGTACACCACGATTACATACCCTGTGTGCAGTTGGTACATGTACACGACACATCTTCATTCTTTTTACACTCCCTTCCCCTCCTTTCCTTACCCCCTCCCTCCATCCCTTGGTCCCCTTCCCTTTTGCAAAAGATCTATCTTCTCCTTTCCTATAATCTGTCTTTTATTTAGCTCTTTAATTTATTTATACTCTGAGCTTCTCATCTGAGAAGAAGCTTCTCATTCTATATTTAAGCTTATTTGTCTGATTTGTTTCACTTGACCTTATTAGTATGAGCTTAGGCTCCTGTGTTAACAACACTACTGGCGATCTCTTCTGTTTAGATGTTTACTACTATACCATGGGGTGTGTGGTAAACTGCTAAGATGACTTCTTATTGTGATGGATAATGATGGATAAGACTAGAAGTTTCAGCCAAGAAACTTCAGTGTGACAAAGCAAAACCCAGAAAAGAATATGGTGGAGGTGTGAGTTAATATTGTGATATGGATCCTTTCAAAAACAAAAGGCTAGGACTGGGGATGTAGCTCTGGGTGCAGCGTCTGCCAGGCCCTGAGTTTGATTCACAGTACCAAAAACAAAATGACTAGATCAACCGAAGACTGTATTTCAAGAAATGCAATGAATGTATCATTAAACATAAGAAACCATTCCTTGGCATCACATTTTTGAGAGAAACAGCGACACTGGGAAGGTGAAAGGTCTGATAGAACTGGCACTGAGAAAGAGTGAGAGGTTCCCGTGTAGTCCGGGAGATAAGGAGCAGAAGAGTTAGGGGGATTATGGCAGAGATGACCCAAGAATCTAAAAGGAGTGCACCATGGAGGAGGGTGAGGGAGTAGCTGCTGACTGGCTCCCCACAGTAGACCCTACTTCTGTGTAGGAAGGAACTCCTGCCATTCTCTCCTCCAAATGGGACTATTTTGTAAACCAACTACTGCATTACACCTTTAAGAAGGGGCTGACCGATAAGGTCGCAGAGGGCATTCATTCCTGCAGGGGACCCGAGACTGAGCTCAATAACTTCCGTTCAGAATCAGTGAAGGAATCCTGCATATGACATTTGCCTTGTACCTCCATGGATTTTTAGATGATGTCTTTTTTTGTAAGAGTTTATAGAGACGGTAGTAGTGGTATGGATCCAGGATGCTAAAGTGAGGGTTGTAGTGTCCTTTTCAAAAATGTTTTTATTGTTCATTTCTTCACCTTCACGGCCTTGCAGATTTCCAGGAACCAATCCACTCATTCATTCACTCGTACTTTTATTGATGGTCTGCTGTGGGCCAAAGATCAGGTGTATTGGGAGAAGGGTGCTGAAGACCCAACCTTATCCCGAAGGGCCGATTGAAGGAGATGTGCCTACCCACAGCTAGAGTAGGACTAGTCTTCTCTGTCTGGAAGGTTGGAGAACAAGTGGTTTCAGAGTTGGGGTAGGAGTAGGGCTGAGGGAGCTCGAGCCAAGGGCAATACTTCCAGTTCTTAGGATTTCTCTGAAATCAGTCTGAAGAGGACTAAGGAAAATCAAGGAAAAAAGAGCTTAGAAAGCATGTAGGGACCTTTCTGACGGTCAGTGGACTTATCTAAGAAAGGTGCTAAACAGAGCACTTTTAATGTGGGAGAACTAGCGAGTGGGTGTCTAATGAAACAAAGCATGTCAAATTCCTTTTCTAAAAGAAATTCACCTCCAAGAAGCTCCACCTTTGGCAGGAAGGGTTAGTGCCGAAGCCCTTTGTCTTTTCTTTTTGTTTGTTTGCTTTGTTTGTTCTTTTGAGACATGGTCTCACTATGTAGTTGAGACTGAACTGGAACTCACCGTGTAGCCCAGGCAGGTCTTGAAATCAAGCGAACCTCCTGCCTCAGCCTCCTGAGTGCTGGGATTACAGGTGTGCGCCACCATGCCTGGCTTTCTCTTCTTTTTTAGCTTCCAGGAAGTGCACAGCTTTGCTTCTGGCAAGGCCCTGCCATGGGGCCCCCTGTGTGCGGCCATGGCCAGCTGCCACTCTCTGATCCTGCTTGATGACACCATCCAGGGGGACCCTCTGGACCTCAAGATGTTTGAAGCCACCACCTGGGTAGGTCTCTGTCTTTCAGGGAATTTGAGAAGCTTGTTCGATCAGTGCCAGTGCAATGCAGCCTTCATTAATACTTCCCAAAATGCCAGTTTTCCAAATGGAACAAAGTGTGAGCCAGTCTGAGCCTGGTTTCCTCATCAGTACTGTGCAGCCCATAATGGTGTCTATGTGGTAGGGTTATTGTGAAGATTAGATGACATGATGTATTAAAAAAATCCTTGGTACAGTGCCCAGAACATGTTATAAGTTCAGCAGTATTAATATAATTACTGTATAATTATTTCCCAAATCTTTGTACTATTCTATGAGCATTATTTGGCTTCAAAGTCTTCGAGCATTAATTTGGAGTGAATGGGTACATTAATTAGCTTGATTGAATGTGCTACGCTGGGTACATAAATTAAGATATCACATTGTGCTCCATAAATATATAACACAATCATTATTTGTTAACTAAAAATAAATAAATGAATGAATGAAAACATTTCCTTCTCCAGAACATGGGGATTAGGAAGCGCCACCGTCCACACGGGCTGGGACAGCTCATGGACTCGTAGTGACCGACAGTTTCACTGGTCTTCGTTTTTTATTGATTTGATTTCTAAGATAGGAAGTAACAAAAAGAAAAACCATAGCGGAGCTTTTCTTGAAACTTTGAACAAGATTTAGGGTCAGATGCTAAGGTTCAGCAATCTGGCGCCCAGGTCTAGGTTTAGCTGCCTTCTAGCGAAGTTCTCTCCCTTCTGTTGGGTCTTGGGCTTCCCTGACTATGAAATGAGGGGATTGAATGGGACCCAGGACTCACACATGAAACAAGACAAAGAACTAGGATGTTTTCTTAGAAGAAAACCTTATTCGAAAGCTGCCTTTGAAAACTAAATAACTGGAGTTTCTCTGGTTGAGGCAGAGGGTGGGGCTACAGGTGGGTGTAGGGGACGCGCATCTCCAAGTCCTGAGCTGCACTGCATCCTTTCCTGCAGCTACTTGCAGCTGCAGACCCTGATGTCACACTGTGTGTATCACAATCTTTAGGGCCTTTCCAGCTCCAACAGAGCGTGGTTGTGTAGCACTCTGCTGAAACTTTGCCCATCCTCCCTTCTTCCTTGATTACGGCTTCCATACTTTAAGTAGAGATTACAATTCCCTCTCAGATTCTTTTCAGCTGCTCCATGAGATGATTACAATGTGCTCTTTGATATCTTTAGGTAAAAGGTTCCTTTGGCGATAATTTGGAGTCATTATTATAGCAATTACTGAACATTTGCCATGCACATCGAGGTCCCTGCCCTGCCCTGCCCTGTCCTGCCCTGAGGACCATCAACCCACGTTACACAGATAGGGGATGGCAGCATCAACAGTCAGTGAGTGCTGGGAAAGAAAGGCAGCAAGGTGCTTGCTTCGCACAGAGCCTGTCTGTTCACATTCACCAGCTTTAAGTTAAGCTCTTCCGAAATAGAGAATGAGCCTTTCTGCGGCACATTTGAACAGAGAAAGCACGATAAATTGCATGAATAATTCAGCAGTGTCTGTCCTTCGAGTTCTGCAGCATTTCCAACACACGAACCTATTATGGGAAAAGCCTGGTTCCTCTCCATCACAGAGGAAAGTAACACAGAGAAAACATTGGGTGGTCTGAGGAGCTTGCGGCGGGGAGGTTTGAGGACAGTGCCAGTGGGTGAGCAAGAAGCAAATCTCTTCGTGAAACTCTCCTTTGTGAAATAGGAAATGGCCGCATCTGAGGACGATTTCCATCTCAAGGGAGTGCCAGCACATGCTGTGGTAGTTAAGCCCCGCAAAAGCGCCCGTCAGGTAAGGCCTGCTTGTCACACTCCCCTCCCAGCGCCTGAACTCCAAGGGAAATGCTCTCCTGGTGCACAGGTTCTGAAAGCTCATAGATGGGTCTTTGAATCTCATTTGTGGAAACTGGGGAGAAATTTCCTCCTTATTTGTCAAAATGAGGATTGAGGGAGGAGCAGTCGGTTCCCAACAGCTAGGAGCTCTGTCATGTTCCTCCTGCAGGCCCCCGTGGAAGGCATTGCGATCTTGCACCAGTTCCCGTTCTCATCGGCCCTGCAGAGGATGACAGTCATCGTCCAAGAGATGGGCGGCGACCGACTGGCATTCATGAAAGGCGCGCCCGAGAGGGTGGCCAGCTTTTGCCAACCCGAGACAGGTTGGTGCCTAGACTTGCATTAGGATGGGCAGATCTGTTCTTCTTGTCACAGATGTCCCCGCAGTCTGTGGAGCCTCTTGCCTGCTGGTCATTGCCAACTGGCTGACGCTGTGAGGTTCCAAACTCAATACCAGCATCAAGTTTATTGTTTCCACTCTGTGTATTTTCCACTTTCCCAGCTTGAGTAAAGGATCTCCTTTTCCTACCCACTCTCTCCCGACTTGGTCTTTGTGGTCTAAGTACTTTTGTCTCGCCTTGCAGTTGCTTGGGTTTCAGCAGTGATCTCCTCCAGTTATAGTGCTAATCTGTCTTTTTACCCAATTAGACAGAAACCCTTAGAGAAGGGCTTGAAGTTAAATATCTGCATGGCCAATGCCCGGCACATAGGAGACCTGGGTGGAAAGAGTTGAGTGTCTGTAAAGAATTTCTTTGTCAGTACTAGCTAAGTAAAGACTGCATGCCACTCATCCTATGCTATTTTTCTAAATAGTGCCAGCTAGTTTTATTAGTGAACTTCAGATTTACACGGCACGGGGATTCCGGGTGATAGCGCTGGCCTACAAGAAGTTGGAAGCTGACCACCACACATCTGCCTTAACAAGGTAACAGAGGGTCGTGATGCAGCAGAATAAGGGCCAGACTGGGATGGGACTCAAGGATTACAGCTAGTGGGCACAGCAGCACAGCTTGCTCGATTTTTGTGCATGAAGTGTCTTTGAATGTTGGTCAAATGTTGTATTAGCTACTTTCCTGTTGCTGCTACAAAATCCCCAACACTCAAAGGAGGAGAGGCCAATTTTGGCTCATACTTTCAGTCTATGGTCAGCTAGCTCTAAGCGCAAAATAGGATGACAGAGGGCCCTAGTAGAGGAAAAGCTGCTCAGCTGATGACAGCCAGAAAGCAGGAAGAGAAGGGAGGAGCCAGGGATACGGATATACCCTTTTAGGGGACACCCACAGTAACCTGTCTGTAACCAGGCTCCATGTCTAATAGCAAACCAGTTGTGACTAGTTACAGACCAACCCACTGATGTGTGTAGTGCCCCCTGTGATCCAGTTACCTTCCAAACACAAGAGACTTTGCAGGGACAGTTTAGATCCAACCATAGCACAGGTGTAATAAGGGCAATCATTCCCCCTCTGCCCAGACCACAAAGCTGCTGCGAACACAGATTGGTGAATTTATGAGAAATATCCACAGAAGATGTAAAACCTAACGCTGTTTTACAGCTTTGCAAAAACAGACATGAATATAACCAGTGTTTCAGAGTTTAAAATTGAGGGCGTGACCTTGTTTTTTTTTTCTTAATTATAGTTGGAGAGTTTGTTGGAAGTAATGAAACATAACATTATCCTGAAAAAACTCTTTATAAGAAATACTCAGTTTAATGAAACAAATGAATATAACTTGAACTTATCTAATTTAGGCACTATTTGCAGAAATCCACAAAAATCTTCTGAAGGACCAGAATAGGGAAAGTTTTGATAAGCTCCATTAACGTAGGGATGGTGCCGGCTGAAGTGGACTGTAGTATATATGAGTTTAACTTTATTTGTTATGATTTTACTTTCTGTTGTTTCTGGATGACAGTGTCGATTTTACCTTCCCTGTCTTTCCCAATTCTTTGTTAGAAACCACTACAGGTACACTGTTGCGGAGAAAATCACAGCTCATATTTTTTTTATTGAGGATTTTAAATCAGGAAGGTCTAGCATATTTGTTTCCAACACTATCATATTCAGCACTCTCTAGTTGAAACTATTTTTTGAATTCTTCCTGTAATATACTAAAATTAAATTTTATGTGATATTAGCTTTACTTCACCTTTGCAAAAAATAAATACAATGTCCTTTGCTATAATTAAATGAAAGCAAAACATGCATCATGGAAACAATATTTCAGGAAATACTCGGCTGATGCCACTGAAACAAATTATGTTGTTTGCACCTGTGTACAGGGACCTTGGGGCTGAGGCAGGTACAAACACAGGCCGATAGGGGGTGCTGCCTAGGGCTGTCTCACCTCCCACAAACTGTCTCGCTGCCAGCAAGATGACTGTGAGGTGGTTTAAAACTCTTGGTAAAACTTGGAAAGGAAATAGTACAGTTTACACACAACTCCTCAGTTTACATGTGGCTTACATTTCCCGCAAAATTCAGTAATGTGCAAAAATATATAAACATTGCTAGGGGGAGAATAGTTTTAGAACTGTTTAATATGGCAGTGTATATAACAGTATAGTATACTAAGTAGTCAAATAATATAAATGGTTGGAGTTTAAACAGACTTAGCCAAGCACAGTTGTGTTGGTGACGATGCACATCCAGGAAAGACTCCTGAAGGTATGTGAGGTGTTGGAGTCATTCTCTGTGTATGGCTCATGTATCTGAGAGGCAGCTCTGTCTCTCTGGGAATGACAATGTGACCACCCTTCTCCCTTGGTGGCTGGGCAGCACGAGGCACAGAGGGGAAGGTGGCTCATCTGAAGTCACTGGGTGTTGGAATCTGGGCTCATTGGGCCACTTCCCCTGGGGCCAGCATAATGTGACCCCTGAAACTTTTGTGAGGACGACCCTAGACATATTTGAACCTGATTCACTCTGTTTGTGTGAGTTCTTGAGGAACGTTGACTTGAGTCAGAGAACTGAAAGTGAACCTTGGATGTCAGACTTCTGGTGAGTATGTGGTACGGGGATCCGACGTGGCCTCTTGCTGGTATCCGCAGCGCTTTTTATTGGGAGATAGCTTCTCACTGTGTTGTCAAGTGAGCTTGGAATTTGCAATCCTCCTGCCTCAGCCTTTTGAGTGGTGTAGTGAGCGGCTGAGGTCATGGACATGTGCCTCCATGCCTGGGTAGGTGTACATTTTATAGCAGAGCACACTTGAGTCCATTGCCAGGGATACAGCACGATTCTGGCTACTATGCTGCTTCTGCTTATTATACTTGATTTTAGCCAAAAGGCCAAGAAGCGATTTGCTTCTGCTTATTATAATAAGACATTTGCACAGGAGAGTGTATCCGCTCACCAAGGGTGCTGAGACTACATTCTAACTTTTCAAAACTCAGCAAAGCCTTAACACAAATTTACTACTAGGATCTGATTTTTTTTTGTTGTTGTTTGGTTTTTGTTGTTTGAGACAGGGTCTCATTATGTAGTTGAGGCTGACCTGGAACTCATTATGTAGCCCAGGCTGGTCTTGAACTCATAGCGATCTTATTATGATTTTATTTAAAGAGTCAATTAGCTTCCTGTCTCAAAGCCACATCTTCACTATATTTTCTCCTGGAATAAGTGCATTGCCTGTCCTTTGCTAATCCCTGGCTAAGACATTCTGTTTCTTTGTTTTGTTTTGCTTGGTGTGTAGGGGTGCATGTGCTCCTGCACTGATATCACAATCACTTTGAAGGCTATTAGCCAACTTTGTGCAAATTTCTTCCTTTAAAATCGACTTGGATTTTGAGAACATGAAGGGCAGTCTTAGGGATGACAATTGTCTCTTTGTATTGCATCACCCTTCATTACTAGTTTTAGATGCTTCCATAGGGGCATAACATCTGTGCAGGAAGCAGGAAAGACAGCCTACAATGCTAAGCTGCAGAATCTGAGACCTCTCGAAGCTGTGCTCCTTACTTCCTGCCCCGGACTGAACGCTCATGAGAAGAACACCCATGAAATGTTAGAGTTAGCAGAGACCTTGAGACCCAGAGATGAACTAGATAACCAGACAAAGAGAGCAATTAGCTCATGGTCATACAGCAAGGCTGGGGTAGGGCTGAAATCACAATGCCAGTTTTCTAGTTACTGTGCCCTAAACACTCAAAAGGACATAGTCTGGAGGAGCTAGAAGTTCTCGTGCTAAGGTGGGTCTTGGGCTGTGTCTGATGCTTTTTGGCCTTACAGAAATTGTCCTGGCCTCACAGCAATTGTTTTGGCCTCGTATAGCTCTTGGTGGTTGCCTCATATCATTGCAATCAGACATCAGCTAAGTTATCTGACCCAGACCAGCACCCATGGCTCTCTAGCATGGCTTCCCCAGTCACTACCCAGAAATGACTGCCTGCTCTTCTCTGACTCCGTGGGACCCTAACTCGGGCATCTGTCATGGTGCTATTCCCTGGCTTCCCATGAGCACGGGTCATGTCTGATCGCTTCCTCCTGGCTGAATGCGAAATCTCTGCAGTCCAGGGCTGCCACTACATTTTCTCTCCCAGTTTCCCTCAGTCCTGGTCCCTTCTGTCTTCAGGTGCTCACTCAGTAAATGCAGATGGCCCTCATGGACCGAGTTCCCAGTAAGAACCCTGGGAAAGGAAATGAATTTCCTAGGCTACATGAGCAAACACAGTCACAGCAGGCACCAGCATTTGCCCAAGCTGAGCACCGACTGCGTGTGGGTGCCTCGTGGGCATTGTTGAACATACTGCTAGAGCAGGAAGTCTTATCTTCCAGGGTGGAGACAGGCAGGTGAGAAATCTGAGAACGGTAGTACAAGGACAAATAAAAATGAGCTCAACTGAGTTAGAAATAATACACCGAGCAAGCGATTTTTCCACCTGGAGAAGCCTTCAGGGAAGAGAAACAGTGTGAACTGGGCCTCAAATACAGGAAGGATTTCAGTGGCCAATCATGGGAACTTTCAAGCTTTTCCATGAAATAAGGAAGAAAGCCTAATAGCAGTGTGGAGCGAATGCATGGATGTGGCTAACCACACAGTATATCTAAGGAAAGGTGGCTGGACACCAAAGTGGGAGAAAAACTGAGGGGTAGATGAAGTCGGAAGACTAGTTTGGAGCAAATCATATGAAGCCTTAAATGCCAGGCTCCAAAGAGTAAGAAACACTGTTCTTCCAATCTTGCTGTGACATGAGTGGCTGAAACTGTGCCACTTTCTGCAGTCCGATGGAGGTATTAACAGGTTCCTGGGAACATCACTGATTCCAGGTCATGGCCCCGGAGATGTGAGCCCCAGTATCGTTATGCATGGGGCAAACTTGGCAGGAGGAGGGCTTCAGTGGGTGCTGCTTTCCTCTGTATTTCAGCCAGAGTTGGGCAGAATTACTGTCTTGCTCTTGAGTTTGTGTTTAGATAAATGAATCATGGAAAATCTATCAATCTGACTCCAAATACACTCTTGTGTACTTGATCCAGTAGAAGGTTCCTCAAAATGTGGTACAGGGCACCTTGGGGATCTCACTACTTGCATGAACATTCGCACTCATAAAGTCTCCGCCTACACCAATGTCTTCAAGTGTTCTACCTAACCCACCTTCAAGCAGGTTTAGTGTTTCTGTTTTAATATTTAGATCTTTGATCCATTTAGATTTTAATTTAGTGCATAGTGAGAGATAGTTTTAATCTTTGGCAAGTCGAAACCCAGTTTTTCTAACACCGTTTATTAAAGATGCTGTCTGTCCTCCAGTGAGGGTATTTGGCTTCATTGTCAAAGATGAGGTGGCTGACTGCTTTGGGAGTTGTTTCTGCACCTTCTAATCTGTACCATTGATACTCAGGTCTGTTTCTTTGCCAGTACCATTTTGTTTTTAACACAGTAGCTTTGTAATATAGTTTCTGGATGAGGATTGTGATAACTTCTGCCTTGTCAGTTGCATGGGAATTAGCGCAAAGAACCAAAAAACTCAACCCCCGCCCCCCAAAAAACAAAAAAAACCCCAAAAACAAAAAACAAAAACAAAAACAAAACCTGGGACCTCATCTTATTAAAAAGCTTCTTCATGGGAAAAGAAACCATGAACAGAGTGAGGAAACAGCCCACAATGATGGAAAAATTTTTTACTAGCTATTCTCAAAGGACTATTATTTAGACTATATAAAGAATTTAAAAAGATCAGACTCCCAAATTCAAAGACCCAATCTAAAAATAGGCATCTGAAATGAACAGACACTTGTCAGACAAAGAAGTAGAAACAGCAAATAAATATATGAAAAAATTTTCAACATTACTGGTCATTCGAGAGATGTAAATTAAAACAACATTGAGATTCCACCTCACTCCAGAAAGAATGGCTGCTATCAAGAAATTAACCAATAACAAATGCTGACTGGGCTGTGGGGAGAAAGGAACCCTTCTCCCCTAGTGGTGGGAGTGCAGATTGGTGCAACCGCTGTGGAAATCAGTATACAGAGACACCTCAAAAAACTAGGATTAGAGGTTCCATTTGACCCAGCCATTTCCTGCTGGGTATCTTCCTAAAAGAATTTAAAGCATCATACCACAGCACCCAGGGTTATAGCAGCACAATGTGTAATAGTTACATCTTGGAAGCAGCCCAAATGCCCCTCAACTGGTGACTGGATAAAGATTTCTTTTGTCTAAAATAGAGTATTACTTAGCCATAAAGAATGATAAACTAGAGGCATTTATAGCTAAATGGATGGACCTTGAGACCACACACTTAAGTGAAATAAATAGGACACGTAAATACTGAATAGTTTCTCTAGTGTGAAAGACTGAAAGTATAAATATGATCACAATGTATAATTGATATTGTGAAATAGGAAGAAAAAGTTCAAAGGGGAAGGAAAATTTGGGGGTAGGGAAGAAGGGAAAGCAAAATCTGAGAAAGAAAGGAAAAATAGAAATAAAGCTTTTGTAAATACGGAGGGGTGGAGGGGTTGAAGGGAGGAAAATGGAACAGGGGAAAAACAAGAACCAAGATACATCAGACGCAAATTCCCAATGATGAATGTGATCATACTGAGTCTTTAAAATGTACCAATAAACTTAATGAATAATAGAGGATAAAATAGGGCTGGGGATTTAGCTCAGTGGTTCTGCCGCCTGCCTTGCAAGCATAAAGACCCGAGTTCAATCCCCGATACAAAAAAAAAAAGATAAAATAAATAAATTTATATCCTTAAAGAAATAAGCATACAAAATCTATGCAGAGCAGCAATGCTAACAGCAGAAGGGGAGGGGAAGAAGCACAGCCCTTAATAACAAGTTCTTCTTCTTGACCTGTATCATATACCTCCTTGGGCTAAAATGGTACAGCGCTGCTTTCTGGAGAAAGTGGCATTTTATCTTTCTTGTGCCTTGTTGGTTTGTCATGATGTTTTGTACCCTAACTTGAATTCTTGGTGGCTAGTGGTGAGCTAATAAAAAGCAGATAAGCCATAGTGGGTTGGAGAGACCCTTATAGTCATTTAAGTCTTCTCTACAAAGGCTAAAGCCAAATTTCTGTCTAATAAGTACTCCCTTCCTCTTGATTCAGTCAGGATAAACATGCCTTGTGCCCTCCCTGTTTTCTTTCTGGAACGTAATCAGTGGCCAGGAGCAGAGCTCTGAGTGAGTAGGTCACTGTAACAGGGATCCTTTGTCTTAGTAAAGCCTGTGAGGAGGGTATAATGTATCATTGTTTCCTCCAGGGAGAAGGTAGAATGTGAGCTGGTATTTCTGGGATTACTGATCTTGGAGAATCGATTGAAGGAAGAGACCAAACCTGTCTTGGAAGAGCTCATCTCTGCACGGATAAGGACTGTAATGATCACAGGTATAGAACAAAGCGGGCAATGAAGACAGTGAGAACCTGGTGTGGAAATAGACTCATTTAACAAATAGCATTGTTTGTCTACTGCGGGGCAAGGCATCGCTCAGGGTGCCACTTTCTTTAAGTTTCCACTGCAGTGGGGAGAAAGAAAATCAATCAACCAATCAATCATTAAATCAATCAAATAGCCAGTCAAATAGTGTGATAAATACTTTGAGGTACAGAAAATAAGGTGACATAACATGTGTCTGACACCTATTTTAGGTGAAGAAGTTCAGAAAGGTCTCACTGAGCAGTGACATTTGAATTAAGACCTGAATGACAAGAAGACACGAGCCTTGCAAAGAAGATGACTTTTATTGTCACATGTTAGAAGGTGAAAGGTGCTTAGTTCAATGTCATCTATAAAGTACACTGAAGGCCCATCAATGTGAAAGTCTATAGTGTTGGAGTTTAAAAAAAATTCTGCCCTCTTTATTCCTAATCCCCAGCTCTGGATCAAGCAAGGTTGCCAAGGAGAAAGGTTTGCTAAGAGAAATGCATGGGATTTTTAAATGAACACTTTTCCAAGGTAGGAAGGGGACCGGGGAAGCTCCTGGGGGAGGACAGCTGAGCATGCAATGGCCAACAGGAAGCAGAGAGAGGAAGGGCGAGCCAGGGAGGGAGATACACGGTTCCAGCTCCCACCCCCGGTGACTCTCCACCTCTTCCACCTCTTCCAACCTGGCGCCACCCAACAGCACCCTCAGCCCTGGATCGTCAGTGGAGGAATCCACTGCTGTGGTTAGCGCCCCCATGGTCCGATCACCTTCTACATACATGAAAATCGGGGGTGGAGGGGCTGTTAGATCTAAGCCATAACAGGGACCTCTTAGTTGCTGCAGGTTGCAAATGTCTTCGTCAGATAGCTGAAGCTCCCCCTGCATTGTTCTTCCTCCTTAGTAGTCTCTCCCAGGTAGTGGGGCCAGTGGAAGCTGTGGGCTCCCCGCGGAGCAAGCGCAGACACTTCCTAGCCCTCAGGGCTCCGTTTGCCCATCCAACCACAGGACTCTGTGCTTTACCACCAGTCCTGTGCACTGAAGGTCCTCGTATTTATTATGCTGAAACTTGGGAGAAGCCAGCTAGGGACAGTCAGGCCGACGCTATATTATTTACTTTTTCGAAGTTGCTCTGAGTAGCAAGGTACGACCTACAATTTCATGAAGCTTTAAACCAGAAATGTCCCTTGCCTGTTCCTTATGTTACAGCCTTCATAAATGTGACATATGTCGAGAACCGCCTCCGAATGATACAGCTCTGTGTTTCCTTTCAACAGGTGGGAGTTAGGGAACGTAAGCGAAGAAAGTGGTCTTTCATATTTACCCAGAGCTTTGTCATACTGGTTGTGCTGCTTTTATTTCTTAAGTACAAATTAACCTCCCGAATCATTTCCGTTCAGCCTCAAGAGCTGCTTTTAGCATTTCCTTTGAACACATCTGCTGGCAACAAATTACGTTAGTTTTCTTTCATCTTAGAATATTTTTATTTATCCTTTATTCCCTAAGGATGTTTCATCAGCTGTAGGAGTCAGAGCTGAGGGTTCTTTTCTTAGAGCACTTTAAAGATGTAGTTCCACTGTCTGCTTGCCTCCATGGTTTTTGAGCAGAAATGGGTGACAATTTAAATCATTGTCCCCTTATTTGTAATGTGCTCTTTTCTTTAGCTTTGATTTTAGTAGTTTGATCCTTATGTCTCTGAGTGTAGACCCCACTGAATTTTCTCATTAGGATTCCCTGAGGCTTCTTGCATCTGTAAATTTAAGTCTTTTACCATATTTGGAGATGTTTCTGCTATTATTTTTTCAAATATATTTCTCCTGCCTGTTTCAATCTTTTATCTCTCCTCAGATTCTGACTTGAATGGGAGTCCTTTGGATATCCTTTGGGTCTCTTTTTATTTTTGTTTAATTTTCTCTTTTCTCCAGATTATATAATTATCACTGATCAATCTTCCAGTTCACTGGCCCTTTGTCTTGTCACCTCCATTCTGATACTGAGTTTTTAAAAATTTAAATTTTGTATATCTAGTTCTTTTTTCCCATTTGTATATTTCTTTGTTGAGAACATCTGGCTCTCCATTTGTTCCATGAGTATTAACATTTGCCATACAAAGGAGACTTTTAAGAGCTACTATCTGATGATTTCCACATTGGAGTCATCACAGGGTTGGCAGCTGTTGATTTTTTAAAGTTGAGAATTAGCCAAATAGCCCATATTTTTTGTATTTTGAATATTCTCAGCATCTTGGATCTTACTCCATGAGACTTTGGATCCTCCTAGAATATTCTGGAGAATCTTGAGAATTTTTTTTTCCCTAAGCCAGTGATCATCACAAATCCTGTCTTGGCTGCTATAGGAAGTGTTTCCATTATTTGCTTAGATATTAAATCTTTTGCTGTGACTTTGAGTTTTCCCTACACAAGGATTACTCTGACAAGTGGAAAGCAACTTATATCTTAGTTTAGTTCTTGAAACTTCTGTTATCCTTCTTTGGGTCCACTCTACATGGGGATTGAGTCTGAGATTTACATAGCTCAAACGTTGAATTAGTCTTCTTTTGTAGCTCTCTTATTCTCAGAACTCATTCTATCAAATTATATAGCCTACAAAGGATCCTTCTCTTGGCTCCTCTGCTCTGAGAGATTGGGTTTCTTTGGGGGTTTCAGTTTCTTGAACAGCTCTGGGGTGGGGCTTACATTCAGGTCAAGTATGGGAAGAAAGAGAAGAAAAGCCAATGAACTCACCCTTTGTAGGGTGCTTCTCCAAGGCTGACTTCTTTTTACAGTCTGCTCATACTTGCTTACTTTTTAAAATCTCTTGGGTAGTTGCTTTTGGTTTTGTGTTTCGAGTTTGCAATTCTAATAAGTGGGAAAGATAGTTTATAGTAGACTTTCTAGACTCTGCTGGAAATGGATCCATCAGAAACTGTAATAACCCGGTAGGGTTTCTCAAATGTTCACAAAGCTCTTAACAAATGAGAGAAATAGATTTGGAGTTTTTTAGTTTTTTTTTTTTTTTTTTTTTTTTTTTTTTTGGTCCTGGGTACTTTCAAGGTAGGTGCCATGCCACTTAGCTAAATCCCTGGCCATTATTTTTTTCTTTTTTAACCTATTTGTGGTACTTTCCTAAAAGCTTATTGTAGATAATTATAGAGATTTAAAAGAAAAGGTTAAGAAAAAAATTTTTTTTTTTTTTTTTTTTGCTCTTCCATTCTGGCAAAAATACACCGTGAGGTCGTGAAGTAGCCTGATGAAAAGGAGCAGGCACCAGAAAAAAGATCATGAAGTGATAGCCCAGGACTGAAAACATCCCTAGAAATGACTTCTCTTTGCATCTACAATAAGAAGAACTGAACTCTTCAGCCTGGTTTCCCAGGCTCTGCATGATTTGCTTCTCTCTTCAGTCTCACCTTAGGATGCTCTTCTTATCTTCTAGGTGACAACCTTCAGACCGCAGTAACAGTGGCCAGAAAGTCTGGGATGGTTTCTGAAAGCCAGAAAGTCATTCTCATTGAGGCAGATGAAACCACTGGGCCCTCATCAGCATCTATATCTTGGAAATTACTGGAAGAGAAGAAACACATTGCATGTGGGAATCAGGTACACCCAGAAGCGGACCTTCTGCTGTGTCACCTGACTTGTTGCACGGCCTCAGTGACTGACAGCTATGACTGGCAGAGGCATCGAGGTGACCTGGAGCTCACATACTTTTCCAGAAGTCTAACAAATATGTAGTTCAATGAACCCAATTATATCGGGTTTTCACACTTTCTACTGTGCTCTGAGGCACAAGCTTTCTTGGGTCCTGGAAGTAATCCATTCTTTTACACTGAAATAACTTGTTAGCTTTGTGTGAGAAAGAATATAATAAGCAGAGCTGTGAATCTAATTTCCCATTTCTCCCCTGGCTTGTCAGCCACCCCATGGGTTCAAAGGGGATTTAGTTCCTGGGCGAGACACTGCTATGTGCATTGCAAATCAGACTATGTCTTCAGGGTGGGGAAAAAACCCAATTTTATGCATGTTTCTCTGTTCTTGTAATCTATTTCAATTGTGTCTTGTGGAATAATATTAATTCTGTAAGAAAAAATAGTAAGCTCTCACTTCAGGGAAAGATATGTTAAGCTGCAGTACTTTTATAGTTTACACTTAAAATGTGTGAAAAGTGCTGTTCTCTGGAACTCACTGAGATCAAATCAGGATGAGAACAGGACATGAAGAAGTGTTATTCTCCTATTCTCTAGTGGCTGTGATGTGCGAAGATTAATCCAGCAAAGAGGTCGTACTTCTCTGAGGAATCAGGGCTGACCTTTGACTTTAGGAGAGGGAACCTGGTCTGTCTTCCTTCCCTTCTCTCACAATTGTGTGTCTTACTTTCCCATTCTCTCAAGTAGAAGAATCTAAAATAATTGTATCTTGCTTTGCAGGACAATTATATTAACATCAGGGAAGAAGTCTATGATAACGGCACAGAAGGGAGTTACCATTTTGCCTTAGATGGAAAATCCTTTCAAGTTATAAATCGATATTTCAGCAGCCTCCTGCCAAAGGTAAGTTATGAGGGGGCAGAAGTCTCTGAGAAGATGCTTGATGCCATTGCTAGAATATGGTCCTGAACAACTTCAAACTTCTAAATAGCACAGATCCAGTTAGTTCTGTGTATAATAGGAGAGGTAAATATTTTTTGGAGACGTTATTATCATCTTATTTCCTGCTAGATTGGTTACTTTTCCACCATTAGAGAATTGAAGTATCAGTGATTTATCAAATCATAAGGATTGATTTTAGGTAGATTTCACTGTATTGCCACAATGAAGGATCTCATAGAGAAAATCCTGCAGTTACATAGATAGGGAAACCAAGAATGAAAGACTGCCATTTGGTTTTTAATAAAGGAGCTCTGTAGTGAGGAGAATGAAATTTAAAGCTTTTCTGATGAAGAATAAGCCCATGGTAGACAACATATCTGCCAAAAAGTAAAGATTTTTAGTGTACACTAAGTTGAGTTTACTGCCAAGAAGAACATGGAACACATCCATGAAACACAGAAAATTTTAAACTCTGTAGAAAGCCAGCAAGGAGAATAGAGCCGGTATAGATTTTTATATCCTCAAACAATTCATGTTCCATCGTGCAATCTAGGCGTGTGTTAGTATCTGAGATTCATGGTTGGTCAAGGTTAGACGATTTTATTAAGTCAAAGACCACAGATAGTTCAGTCACTAGGCTGTTTCTCACAATTTCTGAACAAAGTTTTGAGAATAAGTTGCTTTTTTTTCTTGTCTTAAAGTCCTGACCTCTGATGCAATTTTCCCAACTCCACTGGTTCAAGATGTCATTAAACTCTTGGACTTTTGAAGACTACCTTCTCCATGGTTGCTGGGCTAATTTCCTTGGCGTTATTATCTTTATAAAATATTTTTACTAAAAATCTCTATCTTTACTAATATCCCTGTCATGCATCTGATAACACAATCTCAAAGTCTGTTCTAAAATCTAAAAGAGCAACAAGTTTCTTTCTTTCACTCACAATCACCACACCCATGTTCTGTGGTCAGATATTTCATGTGTGACCCTCTGACATGATAACAAATCTTCTTTGTTTGGTTTCTTACAGATACTGATCAATGGGACGATCTTTGCCAGGATGTCTCCTGGGCAGAAATCCAGTTTGGTGGAAGAGTTTCAGAAACTGGAGTAGGTTCTTTGATAATTCAGATGTTGTCAACTGCATGGGGCATGGCAGTAAGGGGAGCATCAGAGGTACAGGGACTCAGTTCGGCGAGGGCGGTGGTTTTACCATGGCTACACATGTCACTCTCCCAGGGAGCTTTGGAAAAAGAGCAAAACCAGTACCCTGCCACCCAGAGATCCCAATTTAATTAGTCACATGGGGCAGTATATAAACCACTCTTCACATAAGTCAATTTTGCAACCAAAGAACCACTGGATTGGAGCATATGGGGTCTGAAAAAGTATGGGGAGAAATAACACTGGAAATATCATTTGAGCTTGGTTTCTAAAGGCACAGTGAGAATTTAGACTTTATTTTTATAAGCTATCATTCATAGTTGTAGGGAGATTCACATGGTAAGAAATTCATAACCCCTCAGATATTAAAATATTCTAAGGCATCCTTTCCAGCTTGAATCAAAACAAACAAAAAAAACATTCACGCAAAGGGTTTCCATTTATTAGAATAGGCTGCTCAAATTAAGTGACTCTCACGTGGAACCTTTTTCCCGTTATGGGCCCCTATGGAGTAGTGGTGCAGAACCACATCCACAAGTCTCCTACTCCTTGCCATCTTCCTACTTATATGCCCTCCTTAGGAAAGCTTCTCTGTTCAGAAAGCCCTTTCTTCTCTACCGGACTGAAAGCCTAAGGGTAAATCAGCTACCTTCTAGTAGTGTGGAAGAGAAGTACAGTGGGTCCTGTGAGTGCTGTCAAATGCTTGTCCTCTTAGAAGCCAATTGACCATAATCTGTCAACAGCACCACACACAACTATTCATCCAAGCTTGAAAAACCATCCTCAGCTAGCGTGGTGCTGCACACAGGTAATACTAGGTTCTTGAAAGACTGAGACAGGAGAATTAGAAGTTCAAGGCTGGCCTGGGCAACTCAAGGAGACCTTGTCTCAAAGTAAAATTTAAAAGGTCCTAGGGATATAGGACAGTGGTAGAGCACTTACCTAACATGAGTGAGGCTCTGGATTCAATTCTTCAGTACTGGGAGGAAAAAATCCATCCCAAAGCAGGGCTGTGCTTTCTTTCTTTGGTTTTTTGACCTGGTACATCATTTTTCAGCTGAGTGACTGCTGATAGGCTGGAGTTTCTCTTGTGTTACTATTAATGGCAACTACAACTAAGGGTTGCTGATCATTTGAACTTTATAAGGCCTTTGCAAATATAGCATCTCATTTGATGCCCACAACATTTTGGAATGGTGGGATGATCAAGTCAAAACCTAGATTTTCTGGTTTCAAAGCTGTCCCTTCTCTGATGTGCGATATCTCATCATATATGGTCACAAACAGCCCTATTTTACAGTGGAGTAAGCAGCTTCCTAAACAGCACAGTGCAGCGTCTACCTGGACAGCAGGAGCCAGGAACGATGGGCTGGGTTTCTCAACACATTGTAAAAGCTGCCGAGTCACACTTTACTTTCACCCAGACTCTAGGGAAACTCCCTTAAAATAAATAAGTTTAAACCCTAAGAAAGGATGATCACCATGTCCTTTTTAAGTTAGAAACATTAGCTGGTACGTTAGCTCTGATCTCTCCAACTCACACGGTTCCCTCTTAGTTACTTTGTAGGTATGTGTGGAGACGGCGCCAATGACTGTGGGGTAAGTAGCCGGCAGCCAGAGGGGCCGTCACCCCCCGAGTAGTCCTTACTCGGACCTCTGGAGAGAATCCTTACTGGGATATACACCATTTTAGTTCGTCATAACGGGTAGATGGATGCTGAGGATTTGGGAGGGTTTCGCCAAAGCCATCAAGAGACTCCTCTGTGGTTAGGAGAGGATAAATGAGGTGGGACTTGGTTCTGCATTTCCCTTCTTTAGCTAGGTGTCCCTGGGCCATTTCTTCCTTGTGTGGCAGGCAGGGTAAAACCTGGATGTCTTCCGGTTGGCGTTGGAGCCCACAAGCCAACTAGGTGACCATTTTCTTTCCTGGCCTCTGTAGAGATGACTGGGAGTCTACATTGGCAACAAGCCAACTCTTTGTTTTCAGGCTTTGAAAATGGCCCATGTGGGCATCTCTTTGTCAGAGCAGGAGGCATCTGTGGCCTCACCATTCACTTCCAAGACACCAAATATTGAGTGCGTGTCTCACCTTATCAAGTAAGTAGCACTCTTTTCTCTCTCTTCACTTTTTTGGCACAGATAATACTGTTCTGCTAGGAAAGACTAGAGAAACTTTGTGTTCCCAGGTCAGAAAGGTGCTCTGCGGGAAAATGCAAAAGTTCTGCCACTGCCTAGTGGACTTACCAGCAGATACAAATGCCCTCAAGGGAGCCTTGTCATTTCTAGTGAAAATCATCAATGAGATTATTTTTAGAGGATTGGGATCAGAAATGTGTTGCTGATTTTACAGTGTGAATCATCTTTCTGTTTTAAAAGTGTATCTTCTTTACCTCTTGCCTCTTTCTGAAGCCTTGTGGTATCCTTCTCGTCCCAAGCTTTCAAAATTTTATTCACTTTTAAAATTTCCCTCAGTCCTTTATCTCCTCCTTCCCCGATATGAGCTTCTGCTGCGTTTTGTCTGAAAGATGCAGATAATTAGCATTATGGCCACTCTTGGTTATTGGCCACTCGCATTTATATTTAAAAAGTGGTTTAAAGCCTAGTATCTTATACTTCAAAACAACCTGCAGGTGTAGGAATGGTGGCGATTTCTTTTGCAAATAAAGAAATTGACTCTCAGAGAATTAAACTGATACACCCAAGCCTTCCCAGCCATATAGGGTTAGAGTTTGCTTAAATGTGTTTTATCTACAAATACTGTACTTTTTCCTGCCATGTAAAGCAATGATTTAGTTAGCTCTTTCCATCTGAAAATGTTTGTTCACGTATCTGACAAACATTTATTGAATGGAGACTTAGTACCAGGATCTGAGTGACATCAATAAGGCAGTACTTAATGATTTTAATAAGTGCTTTCAAGGAAATAAAAAGGGTGGTATGAAAGGTAGTGAGGTGCTTCTGAGAAAAAGTTGACTGCTTCAGGCAGGGTGACTGGGGAAAACCTCTGTAGGAGGGGAGACGGAGAAGACACTACTTTCTGGGCTGCAGAAGATATGGGAAAAACCCTGGTTGGAATCTCAGAAAATAGTGATCACCATAAGTACATTAAAACCCTATTTCCCCCCAAATTAAGTAGGAAGAGGTGCTATTTCACAAGTCACCTATTTTGTGTTTTAAATGTGCACTATTTCGTCAAGGTCAACCAACAATAGCACAAAAGAACAAGTTCAGTGTCTAGTCTATTTCAGCTGGATGAATGATTCCTTTGAGCATGTGCATAATTTTAGTTCTAATTTTAGAAAAAACCTGGGACTGCCAAGATGAAATTGGACCGATGCCTGCCAAACACCTGCATGAAGATAGCTCCCAACCTGCACCTTGTTTATATCCCTTGGTCCCCACAAAGAAGCTTGGACGAGGGGAATGACCTTCCTCCCAAGCAGATCAGAGTGTAGGTGTGAGTTCTGGGGCCAACTCCCAGGTTTCCTGACTCTGAGAGCAAGAGCAAAAGGAATACTTGCAGGAGGGACAAACAGCTACAAATCTAGCTCCATCGCCAGGTCGAGGCTGTGGGCTTTGGCCCAGGGAATTGGTGTTTCTTGAACATCTAGTCACTTAGGGTCCACAGTCTGCTCCCACTGACTCAAGCTGTCTGGGCTGTCAAGCAAGTACTCTTAGTATCAGACTTTTGATTATTTTTCTCCTGAGCTCAGCTGAACAGCACAGAATAACTGACTCAATTTTCCTTTATCACTTTCATGTCATTCCTTTTCTTACGCAGGGAAGGACGCGCGGCTCTCGTCACCTCATTTTGCATGTTTAAGTACATGGCTCTGTACAGCATGATTCAGTATGTTGGCGTTCTGCTGCTCTACTGGGTATGACTTGGGACCTAGCCTCTTAGTTAGTGAGAACCAAAACCAATGGTGGTGCATACTCAATTGGCAATGTCTTTTCAAGGAAGAGTGCAAACAGGATATCTAGGCATCAAGAGCCTCTATGCTTCTCAGGAGGCTGAAGCAGGAAGATCACAAGCTTGAGACTGGCCTGGGAAACTTAGAGACACCCTGCCTTAGAATGAAAAATAAAAAAGGTAGTAGTTGAGCCCTCTAGGACTCAATCCCCAGTACTAGGGGATATATATGTATCTCCTCTAAGTTTTTATTTTAAGTACTTGTTTGCAGTATGTAATGATTGAATTCCTTGTGTGGAGTTGGTGCACACACATAACACATATTAATCTCCTTTTTTTGTTCTTTTTCCCTGCCCTCCCTGCATCTCTTGATCCCCTTTCCCCATTTGAGAAAGATTTGTGTCACTACTTCCTATGATTGGTCTTTTTCTTTGTTTTTTTTGTTTTTTGTTTTTTTTTCTCCTGGTACCAGGGATTGAACTAGAGACCTTGCACTTGTGAGGCAGGTGATGGAACCACTGAGCTAAATCCTCAGCCCTATCATTGGTCTTTTATCTTGGCCTTTATTTGTAACTTGGGTTTCCCCTTAAAGTTTTAGAAGATAAATCAGAAATAGATGTACACAGGAAGATCGGAAGATGTCCATTCCCTGATTCTCCGGCTCGGAGGTTCTGGATCTAGTGGCAGCCAGAGATCAGAACCGAATGTACTCCTTCCGTGCTCCCTGGAGCTTTGCTTGGACCAGGCCTCCTCTCCAGTCCTAGTGTGGCTCCGCTCTATTGTACCATTCATAGAAGGGGTGATGCTCTACTTCGGCTACTAACTGAGCCTCACATCCGGCTTTCCCTGATTATTACCGTTTGCCAACTTCAGCGGTATAAATACTTTCCCCACAGCTGATCTCAAGGTATTTATGTGTCACTGAATGAGGAGAGGGAACGAGATGTATCCTAGCAGGATGCCATTGTACAGTACTTGCACCATGTAAATGCGGGAGTTGTAACCTGAGGGGCTGGGGATTTAGCTCAGCGGTTCCACCGCCTGCCTTGCAAGCGCAAGGTCTCTAGTTCGATCCCTGGTACCAGAAAATAAATAAACAAACAAACAAACAAACAAATAAATAAATAGAGTTGTGACCTCAGTAGTATGGGTAGCAGGGTGTAGGGAAATAATTAGGAAATGCTGAGCTCTGAGTATATATTTACTTTGTTTTTAATATAATTTATTTAACAATACAATTTAAGACTTTTTGTTAACTAGATTTAACAGTCAGCTCAAAACTTTCCAAAAAATTTCACAACTGACTTTTAGGAGTGCAAGCCAGTAAACCTCTGGTTATCTGAAAGTAGGGATTTGAAGATTGGCATATCATGCTACAAAAAATGCGTATATGTTCTGATGGCTTTTATTAGTTAACAGGCTATAAAAGGAGAGTTAATGCCTACTGTTTGTGAATGCAGTCTGTGAGCTTATTCTTAATACTAACAGCAAGAAAAAGTTTCACTTTTCATGTAGTAATCCACATTCATCTTTATTTCTTGCTCCCTTTCTCTGAAGCTATCTATAGATTTTAGTTCTATTGCTTTCAGATTACCTATGTGTTTTCATACCGAAGAGTGGACTAGAGAAGGGCTGGCTATTAATGGGAATGTGGCTCTATATTGGAATCTCAATAACTCATTATGCTCAAAAGTCAAATTAAGCAGCACGGAAAAAGCAAGTTTCTTGAAGTCATTGACACCAGGCCATTTTTTCCTCAATTGTATCGATTTGCTGTATTAGGACTTTCTAATATCTCATCTAATAACACTCAAGTATGTAAGTTGGGTTTAGTTATTCTCATTGTCCATCAGTAAAAATAAGGTACGATCACCACACACTTGCCATGTCTTACCATTGGAGATGGTTGCTTGTTTGTGTGAGGTCAACCTCCAGATCCTGGTAACAAACAGAGCACAGAGCAGAGGTGGCTGTGGTAGAGGGAGATCTTCTCTTCCTCAGAGGATGCCTACTGGTGTACAAGGACCCCAGCCTATATATAATGCACACTGCGGAAGCCCTCCTTGTTGGAAAGGTTTCCACAGGCTTGGGGAGCTCCACATCACCAGATCTCACTGAACCACGCAGGTTCTTGACTGCATCATCTCCTCAGTAGTCTACTTGAATGATCCTGTTTCGTGCTGAGACTAGGAATGCAATTCATGTCAGACTTTATCTAAAAGGTCATAGCCGTTTTGATCTGCTTTTCTTTTCAGGAGACAAACAGCCTTTCGAATTACCAGTTTCTGTTCCAAGATCTGGCCATCACAACGCTCATTGGTGTGACAAGTAAGGCACTTTACAAACCTTCTTCCCAGAGGTGCTCCTGGAAAGGAGGGAGTGAAGGGGGGAGGGGAGGCAAGGGGGCACAGAGAGATCCTCATGTTTGACCATTGAAAGAAATGCTGGTGATTTTGCTCTTTTCCACAAAAGATAGAGCTTCCATAAATGGACACTATATAAAATGAAGACAGTGCCTTGAAAATTGGGAACCCTGACTTCAGAGTCTTTTCAGGTATAGTTGTAGTTGGGACACACACAGTTTATAGACCCGAAATGGCCTTTATGTTTCTGATCTGCAAATCTTAGCTTCTCAGCACTGAGAATGGACCTTCAAAGTACTCTTTCCATTATACTCCTCCTATCTCCTACTTTCTAATGAATAAATGAGTTGTTTTCCCAGTTTCCCTGCATAGGGAAATTTTTAATTTATGGCGTAATTTTCAGACCTATTTTTAGTGCACTTCAAAGACTGAGAGGAAGGTGCAGAGATTTCCAGCGTACTCTTTCCTCCCAAACATATGCGTCTCCCGCATTAGCAGTATCTCCTCTCCCCAGTGGGGTACATCTGTGACAAGTGATGAACCTGCACTGACTCATCAAAATCTCCCAAAGCCAACGGATTACTGTCAGGTTCACATTGGGTCTTTTCCATTCTATGAGTTAGACAGATGTAATATGACAAACATTCATGATCATAATGTCATAGTAGGTATTTTCACTTTCCTGAGAATTTCCATGTTCTGCTTATTTATCCTCTCATCCTCCGCATACCTCCTGGAAACCACTATGACCTTTGCATCGTCTCTAGAGTTTTACCTTTCACAGAATGTGCTAGAGTTGGAATCATACAGAATGCAATCTGTTTTGGATTGACTTTTTTCACTTAGCGACATACATTTGGGGTTCCCTCATGACTGTTTATATCAGCTCCATCCTTTGCAGTGCCAAGTAATACTCCACTGTCTCTGTGCTACAGTTTATCTCAAGTTCCCGAAGGACATCTTGGTGCTTCAAGTTTTGTAATTCTGATCGAAGCCGCTGCAAACTTGTGTGCAAGTTTTTGTGTGAACTTCTCCTCAGCTCCACTGGTACACACCCAGTAGTGAGGCTGAATTATGTTTGGTTTTGTGAGAAACCACCAGACTTCAGTCTTCAGAAATGACTGCATCACTTTGCTTTTTCACCAGCAGCAGATGGAAGTTCCTGTTTTCTCCATCCTCAGTTGCCTTCGGCGTTGACAGTGTTCTGGATTTGGGTCATTCGAATAGTTGTGCGGTGGTTCTACTTGTGCTTTCTGTCCTACTTCCTCCTACCTTCTCAAGGATTTTGTTCCTGTAGAAAATTTTTTTTCTCAATCATCCAATTTTCTCTGGTCTCTTGGCTTATTAGCATCAGCGTGTAAGTATGTCTCATATGTTCTTCCCTTAAAAACTCGTCCTTGAAGCTAAGTTCATCGCTAGCTACTGCTCTTTTATTCTTGAACATCTCAGTGTCATGTATACTCAATTTCTCCATATCCTGTCTCTAAGGATTTTGCCATTCCAGTTCCTTCTGTCACATTCGAATATCCAAGGGTGTGGATTTGAATGCTGTGCTTGTGCTGCTGTTTGGTGGGAGGCAGTGGTGTGCTTGCTAATGTTTAAGGACTAGCTTTCCAGAAAAAAACTGAATATATTATATATATATATGAGCTTATTATAAATTTTACAAAAAGATAACTGTGTGGTATGTAATTTACAAATAATAAAAATATGCAACACTTTTTATTTCAAATTCCACTCTGCCAATCGATTGTCACAGAATGCGTTCATTGAATTTTGCCAAATGCTTGCATCTCTAATAAACCTATGTTTGCAGTCAATGACTGCATTAGTTTCAACACGAATGTTGGTTGGTACTGTTATTTAATTGAATGTGGGGGGTAAAACCAAACAGCAAATACTTGTGTTGAAACTCCATCAGTGATGTGAGCAACTTATTTGTTGAATCAGCCAGTGGTTCTTGAATACCAGAGGTTTATAGTTCCTCAGTATTTCAAAAAATATTCTCAATGCAATGACAACCAATATGACACAGTTTTGATCTTCATTGTTAACCTCGCAGACACAGGGAATACTAAATATAGTAAAATAATTAGGAAGCTTTGTTTTGCTTATTTTGTATATTTTTACAAGTTTATAGAATTTACTTTTTTAGACTTACAGTGAGCATTGCATTTTTAAAAGTTTAACTTATTCGTACATGTTTACATTTTGATGGCTTTCTTTCCAGTCTTTTTTCTATATAAGTGAAGAAATTAGAATTATGTTCTGTACAGTTTTACACCCTGTTTTTTTCACTTAAAAAGTTAAAGCTATGTTTTAATGTTATTAAATATTTTAATTAATTTTATCGTGGTCTGTCTCTTTCTTTTTTTCTTTCATTCTTTCTTTCTTCCTTCCTTCCTTCCTCTCTCTGCCCCCGTTTCTCCAGGCTCTCATTCTATAGTTCAGTCTGGCCTTGAACTCACTGTACAGCCCAGGCTGGCTTCAAACTTTCTGTGATCCTCCTGCTTCAGCCTCCTGAGTGCTGGGATCACAGGAGTGCGCCATCATGCCTGGCTTAGAATTGACATTTTAACAATATTAAGTCTTCTACTTCATAAACATGGATGGCTTTCAATGTATTTAAATGTTTTTAAATTTTGGCAAAACAAAAATTTGAATTTTCACTGTACAAGTCTTTTTTTTCTTGGTGAAGTATATTCCCAGGCACTAACTCTTTTGTGGATGCTATTGAGAATGTTATATTTTCTTAATTTCCTTTTTTGATTTTTTTCACTGTCAATGTGCAAAAATATAACTGCTCATGATGTGTTGATCTTGGGCTCAGATTATTGCTAAATTCTCTCATTAAGTATAGTATTTTTCTTGAGAATGCTTTGGGATTTTCAATATGCAAGATCTTGTCATCTGAAAATAAAAAATAGTTTTGTTTCTTTCCAACTTGAATGCTATTATTTCTTTTTGGTTCTTGTCTAATTTCTTGGGGGAAAAACTTGCAGTGCACTATTGAATAAATCATTGAAAGTGAACATTCATGCCTTCTTTATAATCTTAGGGGGGAAGTTTTCAGCGTATCACCCTTGAGTATGATGTTAGCTGTGTTTTTTTATTACATGTGATGTAGTCATGGAGATTACATGTAATGGCCAATCCATGATGCTCTAATTTAAATTTATAAGTGTGCAGCTGGGGATTTAGCTCAGCGGTTCCGCTGCCTGCCTTGCAAGCGCAAGGACCCGAGTTCAATCCCCAGTACAAAAAAAAAAAAAATTTTTTTTAAGTGTGCAAAAACTGCTCTTTTCTAGCTCTTTTTCTCCTTTTATGTTGTTGATGTCACAAATTACATCTATATCCATAGTGTATTCAATAACATAAATATGTAACTACTTTTATTACACAATTGTCTTTTAAATAATGTAGGCATTAAAAGTAAAATCACAAACCAAATATACAACAATCTAGCTTTTACATTTACTTGTATTGTTACCTTTACTGGAAATCATTTTTCATAAGTGTTTGAATTGCTGTCTAGTGTCTTTTCATTTCCTTTATGTTGGTTTTATGATAACAAACTAATCCAACTTTCATTTATCTGAGGATTTCTTAATTTCTCCTTCAGTTTTGAAGGATAGTTTTGCCAGATGTAGAATTCTTGGTCACTGGGACTTTTTTCTTCCAATACATTAAAAATGTCATCATGGTGACTTCTGGCCTCCATGCTTTCTGAGGAGAAATTAGTAGTCAGTAAGTAATGAGTGGCTTCTCCCCTGCTGCTTTCAAAATTCTCTCCTTGTTTTGGTTTTCATAGTTGAATTGTAATGCCTGGGTGTCAATCTCTTTGACTTTAGCCTTTTGGAATTGTTTGAGCTTATTGAATGTGCAGAATAACGTCTTACTGAATTTTGGAAATTTTCTGACATTATTTCTTCAAATGTTCATTCTTTCTCTTTCTTTCTATTATCGCACTTTGAAACTCCTGCCATGTGTGTTAGTCTGCTTATGATCCGTGAGTCCCTTAGACATTCACTTTTTCTGTTTGTTTTTCTTTCTGTTACTCAAAGTGGATCTGTTCAATATTCCCATTTTCAAATTCATGGACTCTTCTGCTTGTCAAGAATGCTTTTGAACCCATTTAGTGCATTTCTACTTTTTAAAAAAAAAACCTTTTCAGCTCCAGATTTTCTTTTAGCTCCTTTTAATAATTTCTGTAACTTTGTTAACATTCTCATTTTGTTTACATGCTGTTGTGCTTTCTTTTAGATTTATATTTGCCTCTGATTTCTTCAGGGAGGATTTCTTCCAGTTTATTTTGTTCTGTTGAATATTATAATGTGATAACTGTGGGACTCACATTCTCCTCCTTCCCAAGAATTTGATGCATTTTGTTTTGCTGTCTGTTGAAAGCTGTAGTTGTCCATGGATTTAGTGACTTTCCCGAACTATTTTTTAAAGTCTTTGTAAATTGTCATGTATAGTCACTGAAATCTCTGTTCCTTTAACTTTTATTTAGGTAGTATTTTGACAGAGATTTCCTTTGACTCTGGATGTAAAAATCAAATGAACAAAAACGTCTTTCCAAGTTTTTGCAGATAGGCTGTGAGCTGGGATGCTTATATAACACTGGCCAGGTTTGCAGTGCATCTAGAGATTATCTGGAGCCGACAGCTTAGGATCTTTTCTGAATATGTATCTTGCCCAGGGCATATGCGTGGCTTTCTATATTTTGCAGTTTGCACAGGTGTCTTCGAAAGCCTTCATTTCTCAAAAAGAAAGTTTTGGTAGCTTTTACTCTCAGGCATTAGGTGAGTACTTTAACCTTAATTATAATCTTTTGCCCCAAGCAACTGTGGGCTGTTAGATTCTGTTTTCAAGCAATGTGTGCTGCTTTTCTGCCCTGAGTGATTCCATATTAGGTGAAGTGGAGATGAGTGATCAGTTCCACAGGAAGCTCCCAGACAGTGCAGCACATACACCGTGAGACTTGAGAACAAAGCCTGCTGTGCTTCCACTGTAAGCCGAGGGAACGACTCCCTCCCTGGGAACGTAGTAGGCTTCGTCTTCAAGATTCCTACTATGCAGGCATGATAGCACACTCCTGTAATCCCAGCACTTGGAAGGATCACTGTGAGTTGGAGATCAGCCTGGGCTACATAGTGAGTTCCAGGTCAGTCTCAACTACATGGTGAGACCCTGTCTCAAAAAAAAAAAAGATTCCTACTGAGCCCATGAGTGAGTGAGGCCACAGAACTTTCTTGGCATTTTTAGAGTTGACTTCTCTTTGGTTCAATGTTCACTTTGTTGCCCATTAGCTTTTTTCTGTTTTTCAGATTGCTGGCATAGTTGTTTCTGACAGCTTCTGCACGTAGTTCAGTATTTCTCTGGAGAGATGGGAGCTTGGAGCTGTACACTTCTGGTTTTGCCTCTGTCATTCCTCATTTGTCATTATTTTAGATCACTGCTTTGTGGTGAATGAGTGTTACTCCATTATTATAGACATACCGTAATTTATTGTAGATCACGCTGTGGTGATTATCTCTCCACATTTTGATTTTTTCCAGCTTAGGATAAATTTCTTGAAGTGAGATAACTGTCTAAAGCTATGAACATTTTCCATTTGTTCATATTTGTTGTCAAGTTTCTCTGCAGAAGACTCGCATCGATTTACATTTCCGCAAGCACTGCCTGAGAGGATGCCTTCCACCACCCCATTACCTATAATTTAATAGTTTTGCCTACTTAATAGACAAAACATGGCATCTTGTGATTGTCTGTGCTCTTCTAAGATTTTCTCATGTGACTTGGGAGAAATTAAATCCGTTAACTGTTTTGTTCCTTCAGTTTATGATGTGTCCACTCCCTCAGATGAGTAAGCCAAAGATGTTACGCCATTCTTCTGGCAAGGAATACATTTTCTGCTCTCCTAAATGTGAAACTCATTTATTTTGTAGTGAACCTGAATGGTGCCTATCCCAAGCTGGTGCCTTTCAGACCTGCAGGAAGGCTGATCTCTCCACCTCTGCTGCTGTCTGTCATCCTCAATATCCTTCTCAGCCTGGCCATGCATATTGTGGGCTTCGTCCTGGTTCAGAAGCAGCCCTGGTATTCCATGGAGTTACACAGGTACCACGAAAGCCTCAGTTCCACCCTCACCTTCTGATTTCTATCATCTAGCCAACATGAAGAGTAGCAAATGAATCTTCATCCTGCTAAAGGTTTTGGCTGCCTTAAGTCCTTTGGTTCAATTTACAGCACTTCTTTCTTTTCCTTACACAATTCGATGGTAACATTTATTGGCATATACCTTTGCCTGGGCTGCATGATAATGACCGATGATCATCTGTTCTACTTAGGATGGACAGGGATTATAGTTTGCTTTACCTGCCCCAGTTTGAGCAGCCAAGATTAAGTGAAATTATTAATATTTTTCCCTTTTACAACTGTCCTATTCAGTAACAAGGTATGTAGTCACCCACTCATGAATTATCAGAAATTGTAAGCCATTCAAGGAAAGAATCATGACTTCCTCATCCCTTTATTATATAGCCTTCAACGAACATGATGGGTACAAATTTGATGACTAAATAATTGGTTCAATCAAACTGTCTATTTATCTGTCCAAAATATAGGTCAATCTAAGCTTGATTTTTTTTTTCTTCCTTGGGTTTTCAAGATATTCATGAGACTTGAGAACAAAGCCTGCTGTGCTTCTACTGTAAGCAGAGGGAACGACTCCCTCCCTGGGAACGTAGTAGGCTTCGTTTTCAAGATTCCTTCAAGGTGTAGGCAATTTAGAATGTCAAGTAGGTTCTCTGGACACTAGCATGGAGTCTTGTGGATACAAGGGCTTTGCATCTTATTTTATCAGGTTTTTGTTTGTTTCCTTTACAGTGTGTGCACAGTGCAATATCAAAATGCTTCAAAATTAACCATTTCTCCAACCACTCCTCAAAAAACTGGAGCTAATGGTTCCTATGCAAGTTTTGAGAACACAACTGTATGGTTCTTGGGAACGATCAACTGCATCATCGTGGCTCTTGTATTCTCGAAAGGAAAACCATTCAGGCAGCCTACGTATACAAACTGTGAGTAGAGTTGTATAGGACCAGAGGTGAGAGAACAGATATGTGCAGGCTACGCAGGAAACAGCTGCCAAGTTGGTTCTCATCTTGGGTCTCTGGACTCCCACTTGGAGCTCTGCTATCCCATTTTCGTAGTTTTTTGCTCCTTCTTTCAAAGCTGCATTAAATATGAGGGTTACTTTCTCCCTCCCATACTTTCACCAGAAGTTTGTATTTAGGTGTCATTTCTTGGGACAGTCAGAAAGATGGATTTGTTTTGGTACATGTCCAAATTCATCCTGGGAGCGATGAGGAAAAAGGTCACAGCACACAGCTGGAACCCGTCTCCTGTCGTGAAGGTGTCGGTCAGGATGGCATTGTGTGGTGACCAGCTTGGAGTGGGTCCAAGGTGCAGGTGCCTGGCTAGAGAGGATTTTAGATGCTCTTGGCTGAAGGATCTCACATCTTCTTATGTTCTGGGGTAGGGAGATGAGTTAGGAGGAGAAGTGGCCCCTTGTTTAGTCTCTGGGACTTTGTGTGTGTGTGTATGTGTGTGTGTGTGTGTGTGTGTGTGTGTGTGTGTGCGCGCGCGCCATTATTGCTCAGTTGATTGGGATAATTCAGAAACACAAGCTAAAGAATCCACACCGTCATAGGCATTTGTTGGCTCAGGGAAAATTATTTTGTCTCTAGTCTTCTTAGGATAAGGAAGCAGTCAGATGCTGCAGACGTCTACACACATACATTTAAAATTTCATTTAATTGCAGCCTTCATGTTTTTCCCAAAAAGGTTTTGAGGCAGATAATTTGTACTAAATTCAGAAACACAAGCTAAAGAATCCACACCGTCATAGGCATTTGTTGGCTCAGGGAAAATTATTTTGTCTCTAGTCTTCTTAGGATAAGGAAGCAGTCAGATGCTGCAGACGTCTACACACATACATTTAAAATTTCATTTAATTGCAGCCTTCATGTTTTTCCCAAAAAGGTTTTGAGGCAGATAATTTGTACTAAAGAGACTGGGGTACTCAAATGTATTCAAAACACTTATTTAAAATGTCTTTTTCATGTTATTCTGTCTGTATTTGCCGTTTTTATTAATTGAAACTGGTAACATGCATTTGAAAGTTGCCAGGAGGACATGCATAGAAATTGCAAACGTGATATGCATGGCATAGAAATGAATGCTTTCCATCTATTATGCTGTGTTTGGATTTAGAAATCAAGTAAATTTAGTCAGTGTTAATCTAAGCTATGTCGATAGATGCGATACTTCATACTCTGCTTTCTGGAAATGATAGCTTGTGTTCTTATATCCTCAGATATATTTGTCCTTGTGGTGATTATCCAGCTGGGCGTGTGTTTATTCATTCTATTTGCTGATATTCCAGACTTGTATGGGCGTTTGGATGTAAGTCTCTTCTCATCATGACATTTTGCAGTTGTGTGACACCCTGACTTCAAAAAACAAGTCACAGTTGCCATGACATGGGTATCTGACGCCAATTATGGACTTTGGTGATGGCTGAGTTGAAAAGAAGGATGAATTCCAATCCATTTTTTGTTTAAAATGACCCAGAAATAAAATTCCATCTAGCCTTGATTTCCTGAGACTAAAGACAGCCTTTGAAAAACATTGAACATTTTTCTTTTAAAATATCCACTGTTAGATTGGGGGAAAAATCTATTTACATGTTCCTCTTTGAAGCTGTTTAAAGCAATTTTGCCCGTAACTTGTTGGTTAATTCTCAAATCTGTATTAACATTTTTTTTTTACCTTTTTAAAAGCATGTTTTCCTGTACATTCATACTTCCTGTCTGAAATTTTACTCAGAGTGCACTCTCTCACATTTTGTAACATTGAGACAAGTTTGAAACCCTACAATATAGGCACAGCTCTACATATTCAAGCAAGGCAAAAGCATGCATTTTGATTCGTCTAACCTATTTACTTTCAAATTAAAATGTAACCATTGTTGAATGCCCTTTACACCAATAAACACAATACAGAAGAGAGGGTTAAAGAAATTGAAATTTTTTAGCTCTGTGCTTTGAGTGTGTGCTTGCCATCTCAAAGGTAAGTTTTGAGAGGGCCAGGATGAGGGCTCATTCATTCTTATTTTACCCTTCCTTGCACACCAAATGGCACAAAAGGGCAAACAAATGGCTGGCGAGGAGCGAGCATTGGGTTTCTAGACACAGAGAAGCAGTTGTGGCTTATAGTGCATTTCAAACCAGCGAAACCTCCCCAAGCTCACAGTGACATTGGACCTGCTAACAAATATCTACCTTCGTTTCTTTCTTTTTATAACTGTGTTACTTTGGCTAACGGTGTATTTACCACTGTTGCCCAGAGACTTCATTAATTGCAATAGCTTCTTGTGGAAATAGACTCTGCCTGCTGCTTAGAACTTCTTAACACAGTGGACTTTAAAATTAAGCTGCATTGGGTTGAATTTGCTCCCTTAGTATCTGCAAACTGCAGAGGGACTGGATGCTCTCATGTAGCAAAAAAGTAGGGAACATTCTTGGTTGTCGGGAGCCTCCACCAACTCACTACCTGAGGGACCCAAAGGATCTTGCGAAAAATAACTGTTCACATTTTTAAATACTCAGGTTTGTTCTTTTCACATACAAATATGGGTTCAGTTTAGAAAATGTAGAATATTCAGGCAAGAAAAAAATTACAATACTACTCATGTATTCTTCAATCTTTTAAAATTCATATGTTATAAATGTGCATTGACTAATTTATAAGTTTATTTCATTTGAAGTGGAATCCTGCTGTTTTGCAACCTAGATACTGCTAACTCTTAAAAAATTACATTAATTTGTTTAGTAAGCATATGTTAATGTGGTTTGTATTAAAAAACTAAAAGTTAGTGAAAATCTCCCACCCATCTCTTCTCTGGGGTCAGTTGGTGGCACCAACTGATTTGAAGTACTTTCACGTTTATTTTATACCTATGTACAGAAGTGAGTGTATAGTTCCTGTGTGCATATGTCTCCCACTTTTTATACAAACAATAACAGCTATTACATGCGTTCAGTGTCCCGAGATGTGGGTTGCACCGTGCAAGAGATGATTTGGAGGTAATGCTGTGGGGGAACAGTGTAGGAAGCCAGGGCAGGTGGGGGACAGGTGTGACACTGTGATGCATGCGGGCTGAGCCGGCTCAGGAGAGAGGCCAGGAAGGAGCGCTGGGTGCTCAGGGTCCCCGTCTGCCCTGCAGCCCTGAGAGTGGAGTCAAACTTCCCGCTCACACGTGTCTGCCGTCTCACCGGAGTGAGTCTCGTGAGAACCCTGGCTGTCCTCACTTATGCACTCTGAGCAGCCCATGAGCAGCCCATGGGGTGGACGCGGTGGCGATCCTGAGCAGAGCAGTGCGGCTGGCTGTTATTTATCTTCCCAGCAGCAGGAGATCTGAACGGAACATTTTCATAGCTGCATGTATTTATCTTCCCAGCAGCAGGAGATCTGAATGGAACATTTTCATGATTGCTACAGCCGCACACACAGTCCTGCACTCTGCTTCCTGTGTGTAACTGTGTATTTTGGTGCTTGTTTCATATCAGCACATAAGTGTGCCTCATTCTTTTTAAGGACAACACACTATTCTACTATATGGTATCTACTATGCATATACAATAATTTATATGTTGATCCCTTGATAGACATATAAAGTTTTTCCCAATTTTTTACTATTACAAAGATGCAGTAAAATAACCTTATTAATACATAATAGCATTTAAATATATCATGGCAGTTGTGCACAAATATAGCTCTGGGATGAATTCCTAGAAATGGATCTGAATTTTTAATTTTGAGAATGCCATTCTCCACACACTTTTGTCAGCTTTTACTCTCACCGGTGCATGAGGCAACGTACAAGGTGGTGCTGGATATGGAAGAGTGTACCTGGCCCCACTCGCTGTTTTGGCAAGAGCCCCAATGAGGGCACGATCTGAGTAGCTGTGCCCGCCATCGCGAGGGTGAAGCCCTGGCTCAGTGCTGAGGCAAAACATGGCTGGAGAGAGACATGGTGTTGGAGGCCGAAGGGCAGCCCTGTCCATTGTTTTGTTTTGACGCAGGGTCGCTTGGGAGTAGAGCCACATTCCTCTATTCCCTCTCGAAAACAAACCAAAGCAAGCTGACAAAAATGTTTTTATTATTATTTATTTTGATTGTAAAGTGACCAAAGTTATTTTAGGAAATTTGGAAATTGTGGGATGAGAGAGAATAAAGGAAGAAAGAAAGAAAGAAGGAAAGAAAGAAACAACAATCATAATCCCCAAATCACTGGACTTATTGAGTATTAATTTTTCTATGTAAATATCCATAAATATTCTTCACATGTGTGAATACATACAGCTATGCACACAGGTACACGTACATACATATGCATTTTACATGTGATTTGTGACCTATGAGAACGCATACTGTGAAGACATGAACATTTTGTAGCATGCATTTGTTCCTAGACTAACTGGCCTTTGTCATCTCTTCCCAGTTGCTCTGCACTCCCACCCTGTGGAGGGTCTACATTGTTGTCATGCTGAGTTCCAACTTCCTTGTGTCCTTGTTTGTGGAGGTAAAGGGCCTCAGGCTTCTGATTGCTGTTGGGGCGGGCTCTGGGAAATGTAACAACTTTAGTGGACAAATATTCAACACTGAAAGTGGCTCCCTGCCTTCACTACTATGAGCAATGTGCTTTTCTCTGGTGAGTTTCAAACAAGTCATTCCTTTCCTCGTCTAGTGGGGCCAGGGAGAATGGAATTATGATCTTTAAGATCTTAATAATTTCTAAAATTACCAAATAGAGACTCAAACACAAATCACACTTTGAACCTGTGATCTGATTCATGTGTCAGTCAGCTGTTCCATCACCAGGACAAAAAATACCTAGCATCAGGAACCCAAAGGAGGAGAGGTTATTGGCTCACGGTTTCAGTGAGTTCCTTCCATGCTTGGCTGGCTCCAAGGCATAAACAGCATGATGCAAAGTCTTGGCAATGAAAAGCTGTTCATGCCATAGTGGCCAGGAAGGAGAGGGTGGGATGGAAGACACAGGTCATGCCCCCAGTGACCCTTTCTCTTCTGACCAGGCCCCATATCCGAGCAGTACAGTCAGCAATGAACTCATCAGTAGACCACCGCTAGTTACAGGGTACCCAAAAGTCTCACTTCTGAAGAAGAAATTTTTAGGGAACATTTTAGATCTAAACCATAACAACTCACACACTATGAAATTTGCCCTTCCAATGCATATAATTCAGTGACCTTTTAGTATAACACTGAATTGTGTAGTCATAAACTCTACCTTAATTCTGAGACATTTTCATTACCTCAGAAGAAATCTTGTACCCATGAATCATCTCTTTTCATCTTTCTTCTCCTATTGGGTGAATAACAAAACTCAACTAATAGTAGCTTAAACAGAAAAGGCATTTATTGACTCAACAAGAAGAGAGAGAGTGTATGTGGCTTCAGGACTCGATGGTGCTGTTACAGATCTGCATCTTTTTTCCTGTCTTTGCGCATCCTTTGATGCCACCTTTCGTGCTTGTGCTAGTTGATTGTGGTACTCAGATAGCATCCACCTAGCACTATGATGGAAATGCTTTTATGCAGAAAGGAAGTGAAAGCAGAGGTGCCAGTAAGCTTTTATTCCTTCAAATCTGCAGTTTTTAAAATCAGAAAATGAACTTTTTCCTGCAGCCCAATCCCAGACTGCTTCATTGGTTAGAAGTCTCTTTGTGATCCTGAGTAGAAGAGGATTTTGAGAAAGGAAATCCAGATGGACTTAGACTGTTTGTTTTCCTTTCAGGTAGACAGGGATGAATTTAGGGAATGCGCTGTACGGTAGTCAAGTGTAGAGTCTCCCTAATCACCTGACAGGAAGCCCTTCCCAGGTCTGTAGTGAAGAGCACAAGCTCAGTTAATTCACCCAAGTCTGAATCCTGTCTGCATCACTTTCTTACTGTCTGATTTTGGGCAGGTCACTCGATTTCTCTGTTAAATGTTGCATGTGAAGGAACCTTGCCCTATAGGGTTATTGAGGCCTAAAAAGTAAACACATAAAAGGTATTTAAAATCATAGGACATCACTTTTACGGGATCTCTTGTGGCGCTGACTGCTTACTTTATCTATCAGTCTTTCCATCATTCCATTTTCATTCATCTTTCCACAGGCCTTGCTTTCCATGGGCCATGTCACAGGCCCCTGTGTCTTGGGAAGAGAGATGACAGAGGAATGGAGCTTCTAATCCCCAGTGAGAACGAGGATGTCTTAGCTACTTTCTCATTGCTGTGACGCATTACTTGACACCCACAGCTTGAGAAAAGGTTTATTTTGGTTAACAGTTTAGAGCGGGTTCAGTCCATAGTAGACTGGCTCCACGGTAGGTTGACTGGCAGAGGGGCCTGGCGGAGAGGAAACAGCTCATGGCATGGCAGGCAGGAAGCAGAGAGGGGCCACGGAGGAGGAGGGACGGTGTCTCGGGTACGCCCGCAGTGACCCACCTCCCCCACCAGGCTTTACCTCCCAACACAACATCCAGCTGCAAGGCCATCAGTGGACTCATCCAGTTATGCGTTATTGCACACATGACTTAGTCATCTCCCAAAGGTCCCATCCGTGAGGATTTGAGGGGCATCCAGATAACAGAGAACAAGCGTTCATTATTTTTACAATATTAAATTATGCTGGCAAGTGCTCACGCTGGAGCCTACTGCATTGAAAACCCTGCTGTATTCTAGTTGGGGGTGAGTAAATTTTTATTGTTATTAAATATAAGAAGTGACCCTGCCCATCACCAGCAAATAAAGAGGGTAATTTAATGCTCAGTGACCAGTTTCTGTTTTTTTTTGTGTAGAGATGTACACACGCACGGCTTTTAAATTGAAAAATAACATAGAAGGATAGCAGCCCCAGTGCCAGATCTCTCAGCTACCACCTGCAGCCACCCAGAGTGCCCTTCCCTGCCATCAGCAGGTCCCTGGAGACTAAGCCCTTTGAAGCTTTGGTGAAAGTGACTGTATTTGAGAATTCCAGACATTGTTTTTCCCCTTCATGCAGTGAGCAGGAGCAGGAAAAACCCAGACAATCACGAGCAAGCAAAATGTTTTTCCTGAGTGGCTCTGGGGACAGGCGTCAGAGAACGCTAAGGCTTCCTGGGTGGGCTGGGTTAATCCCATGCTGTGGGGCCAGAGTGTCACACAGACGGTCCAGCGAGGTTTCTGAAGAGTAGGGCCCACCTCCTTTGCACAGTTCTGACTGTTGTCAAGTTTGCAGAGGTGAAACTCTAACCCCGACCCAGATCATCCCAGAAAACAAGGGCTTTAACCTATAGCTCTAATGATTCCCATCATTTCTGTTACTTCTAGGTTTGTATACATGTAAATATGTGAGTCGGCTTGGGCTGCTGGAGTCTCTAGTCAGACAAGCTCCTGTGGCAGAGTTTTCTTAAGGAACAGAATCTTGTGCAGGTTTTTCTTTTGTTTCCAGCCCTGCGTGTAATTGACAATGTAGAGAGACAGCGCAATAACCTCTTAGCACTTCCATATCCCCTTCCAGACCAGTTGGGTGACACAGGTCATCTCACTTCTAAGACTGAGAAGAGCTCCAGGCAAGGCAGAGAGCATGCTCTCTGTCTCTGTCAGTCGCTGTCTCTCCCTCCCTCTCTCTCTCTCTCTCTCTCTCCCCCTTTATTCTGTTTTAAGGTTCCCTAAAGTTTTGAGGAACTAAGTTAGATTTAAAAAGCCTTAGTTGATACCAATGCTCCTGCCTTATCCCAGCTCTAAGGAGAGATCCAGTTCTCTGGCTACAGGAAGGTGATAGAATCCTTGCTGTGAGAGAGTAGAATAGCAGTTCCAGCTAGGTGAGCCCTGAAGTTTGCAAGAAGCTGGTGCTGGCCATGCGGGTCTTCAGCAGCCTGCCCGAGGATGGTCACTTTTCAGAGGAAAGATTTGAGCTGTTCTCCATGCTTTCCATGGCAAAGCAATGTAAACAACAAAGATGGGTGGATTTTAGGAAAATGTTGTCTGTTGTAAAGCTCCTTTAGAATCCTATAAATTAACTCTTTCTATTTAACAAAGATGCTACTGTTGGACATCAAAAGCACTCTAGCTCCACTGGACAGCTTGGATCCTCATGTTTTTCTCCTTGTTTCTTTCGTGATAACATTTAAGAGGCTCAACTTTTGTGATCAACCATGGTTAGAATGGGAAATTAATATGCTAACCTCTCATATACTCTGTACTGTAAATTATAACTTGGGCTATATTCAAGGCCCAGTCTAACTCATGAAATACAACGGCAGTCCAAAATGTTTCTAGATAGGAGTGATTTTTTAATCCTAAAATGCATTTCAACGAAGGGGAAGGGCAAGCTTGGAGGCATGTACGAATGGGGCCGCGATGTGCTCTGTTTATTCAGTGTTTGGTTCAGAGAGGTGAGTGAAAGGTGAGAAGTATGCCCTGCCCTGCCTTGTATATAATCCTCACAACAAACACAAGGAGAGGATTATCATTTCTAACCACTGAGACTCAGGTAGGGTCATTAATTTATTTCATAGGAAGTGTGAGAGCTGGGATCTGAATCCAGCTCTAACTTGAGAAGTGGAGGCTGTGTTCCACTTCCACTGACCCGTATCCAGGGCTGTTGGGTGACACAGCCAAGACAGCACAGACGTGGCCTGTCCTTTTGGAGAGGTAATTCTACGTGGTGGCGTTTTAAAATCAAATACAGTAAATCAAACACAGATGCGATGTGGTACTGGATATAGAGTTTGGATGATTTTAAATTTAGGTGTAAGATTCAAGAGGAATTTCATCTTTGAGATAGGCCACCTCTAGCTTGACTTCCAGGTGCTGGAAATGACTGATGTTCTTTCTTCTCCCAGAAGAGTTACTGAAGTAGCCAAGCTTGAGGCACTAAGACCTGTGCCATGAAACCACCTTGGATCTGTTTGGGGCGAAAGTTCTCTGTCAGACTGGGTCCAGGCAGACAATGCAGTGGTGCATGATTAAGATCTCTGGGGTGCGGGAGCCTCCCAGCACTCGACCTCCAAATGTAAACAATCACTTTATTTTGCAGGAGGCTGTTATTGAAAACCGAGCTCTGTGGATGGCAATCAAAAGATGCTTTGGCTATCGATCAAAAAGCCAGTATCGGGTGTGGCAGCGGAACTTGGCAAATGACTCCAGCTGGCCTCCGCTCAACCAGGTCTCCTACTCGGACATGCCGGGGTGTGGCAGGGCGGTGTCCTACAGCAACCCTGTGTTCGAGAGCAATGAGGAACAGCTTTGAAGGAACTGTGATATCCAAGTTAAGGTGACAGAGAAACCAGGGAAAAAGGGACCCGTTTCCATGACGTTCAAGCAATGGGCTCTTCCAATATCAGCTGGACTGTCGGGGCTGTCTAGAAAATCACAGTGACAAAATTAGTCTGTTCGATAATAAAATATTTCCTAAGAGAAGAACACTGCCCCCAGGAGAGTGCTTTCCTCTTGGCTCCGAATGTATTGGAGGCAGCTACTGAAGCACAAGCGGGCCAAGGACGGCAATGGACCAAGAGAGTGGGAAGCGAAGGGAGGAAAATATGACTCTTTCATTTAGTTTTCAGTGCTGCGGCCTCGAATACGCTAAGCAAGCATGCTGTAACCCAGAACCACAATGCCAGCCCACGTAATCTCTGGTTTTGGGGTAATACCCTTTCGAAATGAGTTGAGGGGTGTCCTACTATGCATATGCACAGAATTGGCACTTTCCATATTTGAGGCTTTTTCTTCTCTTTCTGGCCCTGCCCTGCATATTCTTAAGGATAAATTTGGTCTGTGCCACAACGACAAACAGGCCCCTCAGCTCGGTGTCCTAACACCCTGGAGTTTTCTCACTCCGGGTGACTCTAGGACAGCTACCCTCAGAGTGGCAATTGCTTTGGTCTGAGACTCCACTACCTCACCCTGAGAACTCTGCATAGCACGGCAGGGAGGGAGGACACTGGAGATCCTAAGTGTGACCCAGCGATGCCCACCTCTGCCTCCATTCTGATCTCACAGCCGGGATTCAGCTAAGGAGCTGGGAAGTGCAGACTCCTGTCGGGAGGGCTGCTTCAAGCATAGGGCCTGGGACTACTGGGTCTCCAACTTTCTAGAGCCTCACACATGGTTCAGTGCTCTGCTCACTCTGTTCTGCAATTCTCAACAAAGGTCCTCACATTTCTCATTTTGCACCAGGTGCCACATATGACACCAGGTACCATCTGTACCACCAGGTACAGATGATGTAGTTGTCTGGCTTGTATTTTATACTAGGAAAGCAAAGTGGCATATCAAAGAGCTCTTGTGTTGTCTGCTAGACTCTTTTCCCAACTCTGTGTTCTTCTATGTTTCCTCTCATCTCACACGCCCAACTCTGGGTGTTTTTCACTTCTCTACCATTTTTGAGAAATTCTATTCTTGCCCACTCTTTCTTTTAGTAGTTTATAATACTTAATTTTTTTTCTTTTTTGTTCGTACATGTTTGTATCACAGAATGATTACATTCATTGTGTACAGTTAGTACATATATACAACAACACGTCTTAATTCTTTTTTTTTTTTTTTTTTTGTTTTTTT